TAGTTGTAGGAGCATTAATGACCGTACAGTAATGGATACACCCCATTTCGTCACCAATCCGTTTCATCTCCATCCGTTGTCACCAACCCGGTTCGTCACCAAACCCCATTTCGTCACCACTAACAGCCGCTGGTATTCGTGACAAATTGTAAGTTATTATTTTACACGAATAGAAATTACACATGTATACAGACGATTCGAGAAGTATGTTATTATTATACATGAATATTAATTATTTAATAAAGAAAACTATTAAAACATTGGTAAATAAACAAAACACAGAACAAATGAAGAATTATTGTGTTCTTAACTTCTTACTATACATGAATATTAATTGTTTAATAAAGAAAACTATTAACATTGGTAAATAAACAAAATACAGAACTGAAGGTGATTTGACACCAGAGCGCAAACCACCGAGCAGCAAAGAACAATCTCGCTCTACCTTCTTCTTAACAGAGAAGTTTCAATGGTTGATTTGAAATTACAACTTGTGCTGAGCACAAGCTAAAATCGTGTACAAGAAAAGCAAATCATGACAAGCAAGTCCATCTCTAAAAGCTGTGGGATGAATATGAAGAAAAAATATCACCACTTCTAATTTCCTAAAAAAAATTGTCATTGTCTTCTGCCAAGCTTGCATGAGTAAATTTGTTTAAGTGAGATGATTGCAGGCGTATTAAAAAAAACTTTGTCTTTAATAAATTGTTTAGGCGAGATACTTGCACGAGTAATAACGTTTTTACTTTCGTCATTAATAAATTGTCTTAGTGAGATGCTTGCATGATCCAATGTATTGTTATGCCGAGGCATAATTTCGTATACAATTTTGTAAACATTGGTAAATATTACCGGGCCACATAGCCTGTTGCGTCTTTCACATATTGTTTAAGCGAAATGATTGCAGGCGTATTAACAATTTGGTATTTTTTTTTTTTCATTGTTTTTTATTCTTTTCTATCCCAAGCAACAGTTATTTTTGTGTATATGTTGGGTTCAGAAAACGAAAGGCGACCACAACTCGTTGTGGTTTTCAAAATAACCAGAAAGCGAAATTTTGCTTTGGGATTTTACCCTAACCTAACCCAATCCAAATTAACCTAACCTATAGCAAATTCTTGCTTTTGGTTATTTTCCAAACAACCACAACACGTTGTGGTCGTTTTTTTATTTCTGACCCCAACAGATATATATTAATGGGAATGAACGCGGTGACGAAACGGGTAAAGCAGTGGTGACGAAACGCGTTGAAAACAGTGGTAACAAACGGGTTGATAACGAAATGGGTATACCCCACAGTAGTTTAATACAGCGAAATAAGCACTGCAGTCAATAAGTAATTTCATATCGCCTCACTACTAGGTTTTATTTAATTTTTACAAGCGAAGTTAATGACTTCAAATGAACATAAATTACTTCTATGTATGAGAAAGAATAATAATAGTAAATAATAACTGAACTTACTGTTATATTTGCAGGGTGTCATTTCCCCGTTGACCACGACCATCGCAGTGTGTATAGGTCACCATCAGAAACACTACAGAGCGTTGCAGTGTTGACACAAACAAAACAATGTGTATTTCTTTAAAAACACTCGCAGAACTTAAGAGTTTGTTCACTCCAAATCAGTTAACTAAGTAATTGAGTTTTTTTTTAGTTCAACAAACTTATTGACAAATCTTGGCGTACAGTTTGCCTATTGTGAGTAATTCAGTCAGGAGTGGGTGATAGCAGACGCCCACCTGCCAGTCCTGTCTTTGTTGGGTTGAATCGTAAACTGATGACAAGTGACAATGACAAGATCGAACTTCGACAACTACGCTACATGCCAATCAAGGTATATCTAATAAGGAAACTCAACTGACACACATTCCCATTATTTTCAGAAAGGTCTCAAAATATGACTACACCGCCACCTTTTACCGAGGAGGTGTACTACTCAGGGAGACAGTATAGAGAACCAACTGGGTAGACTAAAATAAATATAATTTAAAATACTCATAGGAAACCGAGTCCAAGAAAAGTTATAGAAAACGACTATTGTTTCACCATTAACTATTTTTGTCATCGCTACAGCCATTAAATTATATATATATATATATATATATATATATATATATATATATATATATATATATATATATATATATATATATATATATATATATATATATAGAAATAAGTAGATGCCATATAGTATAGAAATGTAATATAGTATAGATAACAGACAATAAACTTTTGTGAGCAGAGCAGAGAAAGCGTATTTAAACATAGAATTGAGATAATCAATGAAAATGGAATTGTTTTGTCTTATAATTTAGTACAATATCCATAATAATACTGGAGTCATTTAATATTTTATGAATGATATGAATTACAGGCATATCCTTTGTGAGATAAATCAAGGGACAAGTAAAGATTCATAAATTTGTTAAAATATTTATTATGCAATAACATAATTACATATATAAATAAAACCTGGCATTTTATTCCACCAAAATGCTCGTCAACATTCTACAGTTTAAACCAATTTTCACATGTACTAATAGGTTGACCATGTTCACCCTGCTTTAAAATCTCCAAGTCTTAATTTTTTCAGTTATCAAAATTCTGGCATGTAACTAATACAGTACTGAACTCACGATACATTCAAGCCTGTCCAAATCTAAGTCCAAGGAGGCCCAATCTGTCATTTCAGATATCTTCATAAAAAAGTATAACCTGAAGATATGTGCCCACCCTGGCACAGGTCACTGACCCACATCGGGTCCTGGGGGGACAAAAAAATATATAATAATAATAATAATAATAATAATAATAATAATAATAATAATAATAATAATAATAATAATAATAATAATAATAAAAATAATTCATAATAAAAAATAAAAATAATTAAATAACAATAAAAATAATAATAATAATAAAGACATACCAAAAAAATATAGAGTGAGAAACAATATACAGTATGTATGTTGTGTTGTCAATAGTAATAGAAACAATTGAGACCCTGCAATTGTGTGTAAATGAGGCAGAAAGTCAGATGAACAACCTGGGACTTGGTCACAATTTTCGTGATGCCATATGGCAGCAGGGTCTATCATTAGACAACACATTATGCTTCCAATATCTTTTCTTTATTTCATTGATAATGATACGTTTTTCAGTTAGCTAGTTAACTTACAGCTGATGTATGTATCGCTCACTTGCAGTGTCCAGGCCAAGGAAGTTGATAGACGTAGGAAAGTTGTTATACAGACTGTGACACGACCAAACATCACAAGGTTTCCTCCTGTATTAACATTGGACAATAAAGTTCATAGAGAACAAACTAACCGCCCAAACGGCGAGTGAACTGATAAATGATATATTAATCCCAGTAGTTGCGGAAAAAATATGGCACAAAAAAGGAGTACTGAACTGTACACACTGAAGTAATTGAAGTAAAATTCGTTGTTACCTGAGTTTGTACTCTACTTTTCATATTTTAGTATTCTATACAGGTGATCCTAAAATACATAGCATTATTATATCAATAAACTGTAAACAATCTCTAAGCTGGTCACTCACACACATACAGCACTAGTCATCAGAATATCCCTGACGTATTGATCAAGGTACAGTTTTGTATATCTGTTAAATTAAGAGTAATCGGTAATGAACTGCATCAAACAGAGATGCCAAGTCTTAAGTTAAGCCAATTATAAAGAAAAAATTATTTTTTTTTATGGGGAATAGCCCACCTTACACAGGTCATCGACCCACCATTGGACTTGGGGTGCGAAAAAATAAGAGAAAAAAAAAAAGAGGAAAAAATAGTATGTTTAATCGACACCACGAAGATGCTGGAAAACCAAAGTGAGACACATTGTAAGAGGATGGAAACACAGAAGAAGGCAGAGCTTTCCACAGTTTAGCTGTGTGAGGGTCAGAACCAGGAAATATGTTAAACATGCAATACCGACTGACTGCTTCCACAATTATTTTCGAGGCAGTTTTGGGCATCCCGATAAAATATGACTTAACCGTCGTGATACCCATGAGTTTCTCTTCTCTACTATATTGTGTTAGGTTAATGCGTCAGGTGAGAGACGTCACTGGGAGGGACTACTGTATGTCAAGACACTTTGGTGGACATAGACCAATCAGTGCACGTCATGGTGGGCAGGGACCAATCAGTGCACGTCATGGTGAGCAGGGACCAATCAGTGCACGTCATGGTGGGCAGTGATCAATCGATGCACATCATAGTGGGTAGGGACCAATCAGTGCATGTCATGGTGGGCAGGGACCATCTATTGTACATCATGATGGGCAGGGACCAATCACTGCACGTCATGGTGGACACAGACCAATCAGTGCATATTGTGGTAAGCAGGGACCAATCAGTGTACAGTACATCATGCCCACTTAAAAGTGGATTCTATCAAATTTCAGGTCGAAGTTACAATGTGAGAGGATGAGGGAGAGTAACTCACCTCCCAGCATGGCCGAGACCCTACTCACGCCTCTTTACCTACCTATACTGTACATATTAATGTTCATTATCTTGCTAAATAAGGACAAAGTCAAGTTTTAAATTGGCTTACATAATGCTCCAAAAGTTACTGTGCCTTTATTAAATGAAAAAGGTTACAAGTGCTGGCATTGTTCTTGAGGGATCTTTGCAAGTGGTGTATTACAAGAATCCACTATGGAACAAACCTGATATCTGCCACTGGCAGAATTCACTTGCTTTTCATTAATTATTAATAAAGTGTTGTAGATTGACTAAACTTTGCTTCCACAGAGGAGTCTGCCCCATTATTCAATCACAAAACCACACGTCATATTGCTGGGAAGGGCCAAGTGTGACATTTCCATAATGAAAAGATTATTGTACAGTACAGTACAATACAGCATACTTAGCTGTGATGTACAGTAGTATCATATCTCACTTTGACCACAATATACAGTACAGTACAGTTCTTTATGGTAATAACAGATGTATGACTTCACAGGTGCGGAGGCCAGACTGAGTGTAAGTTCAATATACAGAGCGATGTCCCTTCAGCGCATGAGGATGTGTGGAAGAACACCGTATTGTGGACCGTCTACCACTGTGTCCAGAGTGAGTCAGTCATTGAGGGGAACGGACTAACGCCCGGAGTTTAAAACACCGTCTTCCATTGAAGAGGGTCGTCGTGTTTCAACCAGAGTTTAAAAATCAACTAATTTCAATATTAAAAATTAATTGTATTGGAATTAGTTAATTTTACTGCTACACCACACCACATTCTTTTTAAAACTCGGGTTGAAACACAACGACCCTCTTCAACGGAAGACGGTGTTTAAACCTCCGGGCGTTAGTACTTGAGTGCCTATGGTTGTCAGTGTTAAATTAGATATGTGTGTGTGCATATGTGTCTGTTTTCTGTTGCCATAAATATATTTTGACTATTTAATAATTCTCATTAATAAACTTTTCATGACAGTCAAAGCAACTTGTTTCAGTCCAAATAAATAATCCTAGTACAGGTACAGTACTGTATAAATTATAATGGAAAAGCCTGCATTCATTTACTGTACATAAAGTGTACAGTATTTGGTATTAACTGTCCTAGTACAGTGTACAGTAAATATAAAAAGGTCTCGCATCTGTGATCTGGTGCGACTCGAGGGAGTCTTTAATAATTGTTCCGTTACTGCAGAGTCAGACTTCCATCGTGTGTGTGGCACTGAAAAACATGCTCAGTCTGGGTGGATGCAGAGCATCGGGTACCCTCAGTACTACCTGGGTGAACCCGGAGTGTGCACCGTCACCATCCGTGTGGATGAGGGCCAGCATATCCAGCTCACCATCACTGACCTCAGTCTCAGGGGTAATTATTATTTTCTGTAAAATTTGAATTTATTTACTTACTAATTACAGTACTGACTCAAGCTACAGTACTGTACTTAGATTCATTCTGGTTAAATGCAAATAGGTCTTTAGATCCAGACCTTTTATTATAAGTACAGTACTGTACTGTATCTCAAAAAAGCTCCAGAGGGTATCTGCTAGGATGGGTCCGATGACTTCCAAAATGCTACATGCAACTCGTGATGTCCCGGGAGGGTTGGTAAGCGTGGCTCTGTGGCATACTAATCCTACTACATTTGGTAACCAAGCATTATATTAATTACAGTATGCTAAAATTAATACACATTGCATTACTTATATTAAACTACTATATACCAAAGTAAACGTATGTCCCAATATCTATCATTAGTGGTCTTATAATATTTCACACAGTGTGGACACATACTTTTTTGAGGTACTGTACAGTTACAGTACAGGTAAATAAGTCCTTTGTGGTAATAATTATAAAGTGAATGAGTTATTGATTTTACATTTTTACAACAAACAGATACATAAATAGCTACATACAGGTACAGTACAGAATTCTGTATACAGTATTTTACTACCACATTTAATACTGTTACTCTGCCCATTAATTTTTTGACTTGGGAAGTAAACTATTACCTTCACAAGGAACAGTATTGTAACTTCAACAGCTTCTGTGCAGTGATAATGAAAAATATGAGTGATTTTTTTTCTTCAGAGTTTCAAAATTAATACAGTTCTGTATAGGTGTATGATTTTGGACTTTGCTTATTAACCACTGTGTACCCTGATTTCAAGTGACTTTTCATTATTTGAAATTACAGAACTGTACACCACTGAACTTGGGTCATTGGTTTAGAGAAGGCACACATACAGCCCTCTCCTGTTGGTGTTCTCCACTGGTCTTAATATTTCTTTTAATCTATCATTTCTCCAAATTACCATCTTACTACAGAAGTGAAAGGATGATAAAGATAACAGATAGAAGTAGAAGTTGATACATTTACTACACAGATATTAATGATTACACAGAAGAATGATTAAGTACATGTAAGCTGTTTGGGTTAATATGCTTTTCAGTTTTATAATGTGCAGCACACAGAACTTTATCACTGTTATATTACACTGAACATAAGTCTAATACTGTACAGTTGAATAAATTAGTTAATTCTGCAAAATTTTGCAAGATAGAACTTATACAGGTATACTCATATGAATTACTGTGCTCTGCTTTATTTTCGTAAGAAAGAACTTTAAACATCCAATTAGGTAGGATTTAAGGAATATTGATTGATAAAATAGCCAGATGGACAATAGGAATACTGTACAGTACAGTACAGTACAGTATATAAAGTAGAATAGATAGGCTTCTTGTAGAGCATCTTATGTTCTGTGTACAGTACATTATTTGCCACTACGTACGTATATATATCTCACTTAATATACACCATACAACTGTTAATGTGGTGGTAGTTTTCATCAATAAATCATAGTGTTACAGGTCAAGTAATTTCTTGTATTGTACAGTTGTGGAAGTGTGTTCCTACACCCCCTGTGGTAACCTTCATCTCCAAATGGCCAACCTATATGACCTACAGCAAACCTATCCACCAATCATGTCTATTGTGACATGACCAATACCCATTCATTCATAAATAGTGATACTGCAGTGTTGCTGTTTGGAGACACAGGGGGCATAGAAACACATTTCTGCAACTATACCATAAAACAGTAGTCTGTATTTTGAATGTTTCCTAAAGACTCTGCAACAGTATTTTTTTTATTCTCAGGTCTTTGACTTTGTTATGTTTTCAGAGCTTGTTAATTCTTTAGAAGTACTGTACTGTACTGGCACTTTTGAGAAACAAAAGACCAGCTGTTAATATTTATTAATATGAATCTTACAGACAAGTTGTCTTTGACAGATATCATTCAACCTAATGAAGAAAGTTGTCGAGACAGCGTGACAGTGACAGAGGGAAGCAAGCAGCTGCTGCAGAAGTGTGGGGAGACCAACAAGCCTCTCAAGATAAAGTCTGAAGGCCCTGAACTTAATGTTACTCTTACAGCAACATCGAATGTATATCCAAAACGGGGATATATTGGTTATTTCCAAGGTAGAGATCATTGGTCAGGGCCTCCCTTAAGGGGTGTAGGAAGACTTCTACAGTACAGTACGGGGTATAGACATATTTCAAAACCCAGTCAACTGAATAAAGATTTAAAGCTTTACAATCACAATGAAATTTTTTTTTCTAGATCACATAAAATTTATATACGGGTACGTATTTCAATGGCTGGAGGTCCAAGTTTAGTTTCTATCATCAAGCTAAGTCATACAAAATTTAATGAATATTTTCAATATTTAAAAGTTTTGAAACTTCACTTTTCACTCTACAGCTATTGGATGCGAGACGCCTGCCACACCTGTAGATGGATACATGGCTTATCGAAATGCTACACACGCTGAGTACTGGTGCTGCGTACGTCATGTATTTCCTGACACACATGCCCGACGGCGTCTTCTCAAGTGTAACCGAGCACACACCTGGAACGACACACTTCCTGATTGTGCTGGTGTGTACCCTAACTTTCAGTACTGTATTGCATCATAACCAGATACAAATTTCACAAGATCCAGTTGCTTTTTTTTTTGCAGTCCATACTGTAGAAGAGCTCATTGAGGATCACTTTGAAGGTAGCAAGTAACTCACATTAGACTTGAACAATACATTATTTGGTGGTACTGTACGTATTTCTTTAACCCTTAGACTGCAACGTCCCTCATATCAGAACAGCCAATTTTTTTAAGGTGTGTGCTAATTATAGTACTAATCATAAAGTGTGCTACAAGTCACAGTAGACCTCCTCACTATGGGGCTCTCAGTAGCCCTTGTGTCCTCATGGAAGACGCACGTTCGTCGCCGCTAGTGCCCCCCGTTACCCTCCAGCTCCTCCCTCCTTACCCCCTAGTAATTTGGCCCCAACTCAGTCACTTAAACACTCCACCACAGCTGAACAAATGTACATAAATTATCTACATTGTATTTTAATTTTTTATTCTTCTGCATGTATATATTTAACTTTAAAATTATAAAACATGTTCTTAACAGTCATCATATTTTCGTTCATTACATACATGCAGGTAGCCAGGTCTTCCCATAGTCAATGTCTAGGGGTTAATTAAGAAAGTAGAAACAGTGTTGTTTCATGTGGGAGTGAAACACAGTACAGTACAGTACAGTGTACAGTATACTTAAACTCACTAATGGTGTTGTATCCCACAGACCTTGAGGAGCTATTTCAGGATGGCAACATCACCGAAACACAGTATCAAAACATGGTTAATGGAAGCTCAGGCTACGCAATGGCGGAAATGTTACGTCAGGCTCACTTGGTCTACGGTAAGTGTGTGTGTTTATCCCTTATCCAAAATTCAGTTTATGAAGAGTTATGTCAAAGTAGGAAAAATGAGTTAAGATGTAACTTAATTAATATGTATACTGTAAGATAGTGTTTAATTGCATTTTTAATTTGGAACACTGACATACTATCAGTGAATGAGTTTAAAGTGTCACTCCTTTGATAGAAGAGGAAGCAGTACCATTATTGCTAGTAAAAGTACAGTACAGAACTCTCATGATAAATTAAATCATGATAACTGTTAGTATAAATATTTGTGATGTTTAATAATTAAAAAAATATCCCATTGAAAATTATCAACAAGTCTCTTTCATTGTATGCCAAAAAACAGTGTAATAATTTCAAGCTTGTCTCTGAGCAGTCATCTTTCTTCAGTCATGATACTGTACTTCTGCCTTCTCCTCTAAACCTCTCAACATGTGCTTAATTTAGTTCGATTTTTTATTTTATTTATAATTTTCACCACTTAACGGTTCTTTGTTATGACCTTCATTGTCCGTTAGTACAGGCAGTACCTCACACCAACAATAATCTCATTTACACACACACATTCTTCCTTGGGTACAAACTTTTACTGTTAACCCACATAACATTCTTAATAACGTTGTGAACTCAACTGCCTCACCCTATTTGTCCTCTCACTGTAAGCCAGCATAGGTCATACCCTCCCCTTCCCTCCACGCTGTCATTTCCCATAGTAATCCAAATAAGATGTGAATGATCAAAGTATTTCCAATCATGAATATCTACAATATCTTGTGTTCCTCCATGTATACAGATGATATTTATATTATCGTTTTGCAACAGATTTGGTGGTGCCAACCGTGATAATGTCTGTACTGGTTCTTGGGAATGTCGCCATAGTCTTTCTGATCATTTATTGCCGCAGGTGAGTACAATACAACACTATCAGAGTACAGCACATGACTTACAACTGTTGCTGTGTTTTGAACTATTGTAAGTACATTAACTTTTAATATCCGTTACATTAGCAATACTCGAGTATTTTGTTTGTTTGGGAGTAAATAATTCTCCCCTGCCACATAATTTGTTTCACATACCTGTACAGTATTTTCATTTACTGTAATGAATCTGTTGTGCAGAAAAGTGGAAGTGAAGTAAAAGTGGTGACATTAAGAAACTTCTTCAGTGTCAGTATCTGTGTCTCTCTATATACAGTCATGCGCCGCTTTACGTCTGTCCGAACAACGTCCGATCGCATATACGTCTGTGGCCCATAAAAATAATAAGAAAATAATGCGGATAAAAAAAATCCGTTCAGACAACGGGATGTAGCGGACGTAAGTGGCCTTAGAGCGGGCGCGCTCACGCATGCATCAAGTGTTCTTAAACAAAATAAGATTCTGCTGCCAGGCGTATGATGATACAGTACAGTAACTATACTGTATATCCATAATATGTTTTGATAGATATAAGAAATGCCTATGTTACTGGTTTGTGTTTTTTGGCTAATGTAGTGTACAGTACAGTACTTTTAATGTCATTTCCTTACTTATGAAATAAAAAGTTTTTAAACTGAATAACAGTGTATGCTTGGTTTGGCCTCATCGGCAATGTAGACTTATGTTATTTTATTAGCCTTAACCTCTGTGTTTCATTAGTTGTGTACATTATCTAGTGAATTTAGTCAATATTGTACAGTACAAGTACACTGCAATATTCCACATACATGTAAGTATAAATACAAAGTTCACAATGTGATGTTCGAACAACGTCCAAGTTGGTTAACGTCACGTTTCCAAGAACGTATCTACGACGTTAAGCGACGCATGACTGTATAGCACTTCAGGGTGGTAAGTTCACCTTGAATCTTCCCCACATATATATACTAGTAACTGATCATCTCCACATCATATTAAAAGGCTGCACCAATACTTTAATGATCTTTTTGTTTCACCCTTAAATGGTGAGTAATGATTCCTAATCTGCCTCCATACATGCCAAAACTAGAATGTAACAAACATGAAACATCAACTTACGTTGGCTGCTCTCCTTACAATTGATATAAATTGATGTTGGCTGCCATCCCAACATTTAACATACAGTCTCTCCTCCAGTTACGGTGGGGTTCTGTTCCGACTACCAGGTCGTAAGTTGAACCGACGAAAATAATACGTAGTACAGGTAATAATTGTAAAACTTTTACCTTGTTAATACACAAACTGAGCGGGATACGGCGTGGATGCTGTACATACTCGGCAGCATGCCAGCCGAAGTTGTCATAAGGCGTCGTTAGACATTATGACCAAACGTCTGGGCTCGAAAATACTCTAATGTAAAATATTTTAATATAATATAACGACAATGACCGTCGTAAGTCCGGGTTGTCATAAGTCGAGGAGAGACTGTATATTGATGTTTGCCACTGAATAAGGGTTACCTATTACATCAGCAAAATAATTACCACTTGCTAGCAGTAAGAAGCAAATGCCTGTGAAAGGATGGCGGTGATCAGAGGTGGCCGCTAAAGGAACCAAACAAACTAGGAAGCAGAAAATGAAAAATCACAAGTAGGGGAAAAAATATAAGATACTCAAGTTGTTGTACGAGCAAAGTATAAATGTTCTCAAACTGCCTTTTCATCCAACACCTTTAATATATTCTGTTTAATCTTCATTTTTCTCCAACTTGAGTACTGTACAGGGTGTTTGAAAGGGCAGTTCTGTTATTGTGGTTGTTTCCTTATCTTAAAAACATATGCTGTACCTGTAACAACCTTTACCCAAAAATTACAATTTAACATTAAAAATATCCTACAACAGCTGATCCTACCTTCCAGTTTCTCCCTAACAACCACCTGTTAACTATTAAGACTGTTTTACAATGTGACACTTATTGATACAGTATTTAACTTGTCAAGAACACAGATGCAGTACTGTACTCCCAATATCATATAAGAACTTTCCGATGATTCACTGAATATGTGACCTGTGCATTTTAAGTAATCTGGAATATCACCTTAATCAGACAAGACAGATAGAGTTATAAAACTCATCTTTGTAGGGACAGTATATGTTAACAGTTACTAAGTTATGTAGGTACAGTATATGTTAACAGTTACTTGGTCTTTTCAGGGGTGTGATTGAGGAAGGAGCTAACTGTGAAGAACTCGAGTCAATCAAGGCTAATCCTGAACCCACTGATGTCGTAGACAGTAAACCGTGTGAAGTGTAGTGCGTCGTTGTTTGGCGGGGCATTATTGAGGGGAAGGTTAAGTTTAATGAGTTGGTGAGCAAGGCTCACAAGTTGTGTGGAGTCATTGGTGAAACTTGTGGCTTTTATAACATAGCCAAAGATGATTTCTGACAAGACTCAAGTTCTCAAGGAGGCAAGTGCTTGAAACTGCCACTGCTGCACAAGAAACATGCAAACTACTGTCTTTTACTTTCACAGCTGCATAAATATATTTTGTATACAGGGGGTTCATGGAAGACATCTTACTTTAACTGAGACATACTCTAAGAGCTAGTAACAAGACACACACAGCAACAGGAGAAGTTACTCAGATATACACCACAAGAATAATTAGTGAGATAAGCACCAAACCCAATTTGCTTCTAGAGGGAGAGAAAGAATTACTGTGACATATGAACCTTGAGGAAAGGAGAAACTTGTTTTAGAAGTGTATATTTTAGTCAACACTACCTGGAATCACTCACTTTCCATTTTGACAATTAACTAAATGAATCTCAGATACTCTAGTCTAATGTGTGTGCCAAATAGCTCTAAAGCTGTAAAAATGTTTTGTTTTTTTAAATATTATTCCTATTCCATAAGTGACTCATCTTCCATCAATGGCATTGTAATGACTTGAAAATAGAGCAGATCATATATAAAAAGTTGTAAATATTTTTTTCTGCCTCTTTTTGAGAAAGAAACAAATGTTCAGTGCTGTACAGTATATACTGCAGTTTGTCAAAACTATAAATATTTTAATTCTAAGTATAATGTAAATGATGTAGATTAATCATTTAATGATGCTTCAAAAGTTCATTTATCAAACTTGACAACAATAAAAGAACAAGATTTATCCCATGAATCAAGCACTGTACACTAGTACACAAATGAGGACTTCCAGTAACCAGACACCTCAACCCTTGAATCAAATTATGAACAGAATGGAATGCATTTGTTCCCTTAACATTTCATACACACGAACTCTTCACCATAGATTACACTCATTAATACAGAAATAATAAATATCAAGAATTTTCAGAGCTTTACAATAATGCTGGATGATATTAAACTCAGTTAATGAGAAATTTAAGATCACATCCACTAAAATACAGAATGAGACAAGGAAACTCAGATAAGTGAGAGGTTTAACATCAAACTTATCCAGTTCCTTTGGTGATGTGTTGAATAAAGCCACAGATACAGTGCCTATTGCCTGATAATTGTACAAGGGGACACCTATTTTTATTTGGCATTTATCCTTAAGTGCAGTACAGTAGAATGGTACTTAACAGGCTTATACTGCACTTACAAAATTGCAGGTCTATGGACGCTTCAGTGGTGTGTTTTTTAAGTATTAATCGAGATATAGTTTGTTATGAAGTGAAGTGTGTACTTACTGGTAGCTGATGAAATAGTCGAGTGTTTGTGTGTCCTCTTGTGGAACATAGTGCTGGTAGCTTAGATATGTAAGTCACTTATTGTCTCTAGTTTACATATAGAGAAACATGTCTACATCACTAATTTGTCATATTATTTTGTGGTAAAAGAGCTATTTATGCATTACAACTGTATGTACTGTATATGATAAATTACCGAAAAAATTAATGCATCATAACATTCAGTGACTCTTCATAGCTTGACAGACTGTACAGTTGTGGAAAATTTTGTTCTTGAAAATGCTTGATACAGGAGTGTGTGACTGTTGGTCTGAGTTATGTCTTATAATCAAAGATGACACATGTCACTTCTAATAACTGAAGTACAGAAAGTGAAAGATGTTACCTGAATTAATGACAGCTATCACTTTCTATACCTTATGAGACATATTATTTCTTTAAACCGGAGCAAAATAGAAGGTCACATATAATAAGTAAAATACACGAGATGTTATATATAATACTTGAAGTAAATAACTGATGTCACTTCCAGTAACTGAAGTCAATCAGAGGATCAAAACTGTTTCATTTATCTTTGTACTGTGTAGTGTTCAGATGATGCTGTGTTGTATCATGTCTACCTTCAAAAATATATGAATCTACTGTACTTCAGAACTCATGATACTGTTCATAATACCACAATCTTATTGTACTTTCAGGCATTTCTCACTCCTTAACATGTGAGGTGCTTAATGTGAAGTTTATCTGAATATTTCTTGAGTATTTTGTGTACAATTTATAAAGGTTTATTCAGATTAATTAGGTATTATTTATATCATTAAGGGAGTTGTCTCAGTATTTAGTCATGTTATAATTTATAAACACAAGTAAAAGTAATACTGTACTGTAGTCCAGGGGCAGATCCAGGAATATCAAAAGGGGGAGGGTGGGGGTGGAAGATGGAGTGCACAGCAAGCCCACCCAGCTTTTTTTTTTTTTTTTTGGTGTGTATGTGTGTGTGTGTGTAGGCATTAAAGAATAAGTATTGGATTCCCCCTGTAGTCATAACAGTCATAAAGTAGAAAACCTTGAAATGTAACCTTCATGTATGAGTTTACTGTGATGGAGTTTTAATTCTATATTATATAAGGCCAATGACATTCCAGACTACAATATAGATCAGAGATGAAAGCCGCCACCTGAACCTCCATATGGAAACAACAGTCAGAGTATTAAGTAATGAAACCTTTATTTCCTGATATTTCATAACAATGTGCAGTACAGTACTGTAATTTATGAAGCAACTGTTATAATCAGAAAATAACTCGCCTATCTTCTCACTGAACTGTACCTGGTGTTAGTGATTTTTGTTTTGTTGTTAAGTTATATTTATGACGAATTATTATTGTTTGTTATGTTAAGTCTTTAGCTTAAGTTGTCATATGCATAAACTGAAAAGGAACAATTGAAGGAAAGCATTCACCATGTTAAGGCCTGCTGACAAATGTTAAGACTCTTCAGATATAGTACAGTCTAGGTTATTTTTTGTCTCCCATTCTGCTTTACTGGATGGCTGTAAGTGTATGTGTGTGCCAAAGATAATTTGCATAATAAGAAAGGTCATTGCGACAATAATCATGTTGTATCATTAACCCATAACTAAAGCTAAAAAACAAACACAGCTTCACTCTTACAAGCCATGTTGTTTGGAGGTTACAATCAACAACTACAGGTATACACACTCACTCATATCCCAATGTGTAGTGTGCAGGTAAACAATTAACAACTATCCCAGTGTGTACTGTGGAGGTTACAATCAACAACTATCCCAGTGTGTACTGTGGAGGTTACAATCAACTACTTAACACACGCTCCCTCACATACTGTCATCAGTGCTACTAAGCTGCCCAACCAGTTGAGTCCTCAGGTGTTTCCTTATCCAAGACATCCAGGTGGTTTACACATCATCACGTACATTATCATCCAACAGCAAAATAACACAATACAACCATTAACTTTAAGCTATAACATCTGTGAGAGTTAACTAATGCACCACAACTCCACAATGCACTAATGTAAGAAAGATGAAAAAAATCTTTAACTGGCAGCTCAGGATTCTCCCTCCATATACACAAATGGACATGAAACTTTCTCTAATAATGGCTCCTATTAAGGTGTTAATAATTTGGAAACGTGACATTAATTCACTATGAATATAATAACTTTGAGACTTAGAACTTTTCAACACATGAAACTAAAAAACTATGAATAACCGCTGAATATACTGTACTGTACTGTACTATTTTGAAGAAACAGCCTTGTCATTATCATAGCATAAATAAAACATTCTGCAGCTTTTGAACTACTATTTATTCCATCTCCGTATGCACAATATGTACATATTTATACACTATATATATAAAAAACCTTTTTCATGGGACTTCTTCCTCCACAGATAAACAGTATAAAGTTCTCAATATGGACACTGGCAAAAATGCCACCATATAATATGGTACAGGTTGGACCTCAATAATCTGGGGAGCTTGGGACCAGACTGGTTCCAGATTTGCGAAAATTCTGAACCATCAAAGCCGAGGTTAAAAAAAAAAGAGGCAAAATAATGCACAAAATGTACTATTACTGGTACCAATACAACTTACATAAGCATAACTCTAGCCCAGGCTTACTGGACCTCTATATGACAAAGTGTACACAGTCGATGAACCAACACCATATTCTGCACACAATGCCCTGACTCATGTACCACTGTCTAATTTGTTCAGTATAGACACCTTTTCTAAAATAGTTTGTCACATGCTTATGTTTTGCCACATTACAACCATTTTCACTGCTTGCTGGTCTCTTAGGAGGCATACTTAGGGGTCAATTGTAAGTATTTAAAGGTAAAATAGTGGCAAGACCCACTGGAAGTGAGCTATGACAGACGTAAACTAACGACAGCCAGGTTCAAACACCGTCCCGAACCATCGAAGCTGCCGGACTATTGGGTCCCGGATTAGTGGAGTCCAACCTGTACTGTACTGTAATTCCAATAAACCTTGTTTAGCTGAACTAATAACAACTTTTCCAATCTACTATATTACATGAAACTGTTTGTTGTGTTTTTATTACTATGGAATAAAATAACTGTATGTAACTGCTTAGATGATGCTACTATAAATTAATCTATGATACTGTACTATAAAAATGGCAAAAAAATTACAGTTAATTATTAAGTAAATTGAGAAATTAATAGCATCATCATTCATATAGTACTGTGCAGTACAGTATAGTTATAGGACTTTGAATGAGTTTCACCATCAATATCTTATGAGTGTGTGTTACATTGGCAATATGTACATTTTAAACTTCTTAGCAATGAACTAACTTACTGTTAGACAACTACTTCTGATGATGGCTTGACGTGTTCTGGAAGTTTATGCAGTTCGTGCTGTGAAGGAGACAAGGAAGGACTTTTAATATTAAGAAATAATACCATTTTACTGCAGACATAATCAATATTCAAAACACACTTCACATAACCTCAACTGTATACAAGCTGAGGATATGGGGAATTATGTGTAGCTTACCTCTACCCACTACTTCACCCCTTTACTGCCACTTTCCACACTTTTCTTGCATCACTCTCCACTACCCCCTCCCTTCTTCAGGTGTTCTGTTTCCTTGGATCTACCCAGTAAAAAGAAGTTGGGGAGGGGAAAAGAAATAAAGATGAGAGACAGATAGATGCTGATAGCTCTAATATTCACACTTGTCCTCACCAGGCTTTGTGTTAACTTCCTGGGCAGTTTACATTATACAGAATTATACAGTATATATATAATAATATGATACTGTATCTGCTCCTTTGTACTGATGCATGTTAATAAAGGTGATCATACAAATGTAATGTACAGGACAGGAGACATCACCTCTGCTAATAAAGGTGTTATGGGCCTTGAAAACAGGAGAGGGGGTGTCACTTCTCTAAACAGGAACACCTGCAGTACAGTTCTGTTTACAAATTTGTTTTTGAGCTTTTCAAGAACTGTATGTACATTAATATTTTTTTCTGGTATTAACACTGAGGGAGAGAGAGTGCATCTAATAACAGTAGTCTCAGTACTGTATACCTAATATACCATTTTATGTGTAATCTACCTTAATTTAGCAAATATTGTACAAACTTATATCTTCAGTTAAAAGAAAAAAATTAACATGGAAACCTCAGAGAATCCAGGACCAGGGAAGGTGAATGAAATGATTGGTATTATTCATGAAACACAAAACAGAGAGGGTACAGTAATTATATGCATCACAAAGAACAATTAAATGTTATGTGACGCACCACTGGTAAGTTACTTATGGGTAAAATTGTATCAACGGGATTTTCAAAATCTGGTGTTACTTGGAAGTAATCAGAGTGTGCCAACACTTATCCAGAATGACAAGGGATTTGGGTCAACACAAGTAGCAAGTCTGAGTAAGTGAAAGGACTTAGTGTCTGTTGAATCCAAGAGCCATGCATCATACCAGCATTCTGTCCCAGATAATACTGCATTTTACCTCTTTGTCACTTTTTTCTTTTATTCTAATTATAAAATTTCGTTATTTTTCAATGAAACCTTCAAATTGCCTCTAAATATATAATCTGATGTCTCCCTACACAACTCTCAACACTCAATGTAGTACTGTACTGATGTTAAATTACCTCCAGTTGTACTGCGCACATCATTGTCATTCCTAAAAACCCCATTTAATTCATATTACGCGATATAACATTCAAATCCACCGCACTTGTAGAACCTCAGAAAACGGGAAACATTGATAAAGGATAACTCACCTACTCATTGTTACTAGACCATGTGTTGTATTGTACCCAGGTACAGTTATATCATATTAATTGTATGTGTTCATAGCATTAAGGAGAACTCAGGTTATCCATAAGATGAATGTTAAAGTCCAGTTGAGCCGGACTAGTGTACTGTAGGACTAAGTGTGGATCATGGTTTGAAGGTCATACTATTTACGTCTGTGAGCGTGTAGCGAACATAACTTCCACAGACATCATATGAAAATACATGAGAACAATGATCTGGAAAAAGGATAAATGTATCAGAACTATGTGAGGTGTTGGAAGTGACCCAGAAACTATACTTGAAAGGAAATATCTTGTATGAGTCGGTATGAACTTAATACACCTCGTATCCTCACGTGACATATACCCACGACAGGTACAGTGATCAGAGAATCTTATGTCTGTGTTCAAATAGTGCAATGTGTGAGAGGAGGATCCCTCATTACAGTTTTAAGTGAAGTTGATACACCCCCGCCATGAACCTTCAGCCTTTGTTTTAAGGCGCGCCATGTACCGGCCTCGGGTGTGCAGCGTTGATATTATAACCCAATGAATTTACCCACGAACTAGCAAACCAAGACCTTACCTTAGGGTGTAATTTAGGATTAAAATATGCGTTTATACGGCATGAGTGACAATATACCGAAAAGTGTTCAGGCGAGAACCGTAAGAAATAAAAGTAAAAATTAAAGATTGGAAACTGTAGGCCTACTCGGTGAGGAGCGGCGGGCACTGCCCTCAGTATCCCCCGTTCTACCGTCGCCTCAGATCAGTGTCCTAGCGGGCTATATTCCGCCCTATAATTAAGGTTTATATAGAAGTTATTACAGTTTAAAGCTTTGCCAGATATATAAGTGTAATAGTAATGTGTTAGGGGGTGTGATAACCGCCCGTCAGGCATTATTTCTCAGTATCCCCCGTTCTACCGTCGCCTCAGGTTCCATGCGGTCGGAGTGCCTTGCCGCCCGGCAGCCATTATCCCTGAGCGTCCCAACAGGTGGTGACTACTCCCAGCTATGCCAATCCACTGTGAACCTGTGGATTTCCAGCACACCACTCCAAATGAGTAGTCACAAATAAGGAGACCGTGAGAAACTCTGTGGTCGTCACTTGGAGCGACCTATAATACCAGGCGTAGAAATAGTGCTGGTATGTCTCTGGGTGAAGCCCTCGTCTCTGCCCACCGAGGGCGGTGTGCGAATGAGGTGCCTGGTGTGTATACCTAAGAGTCACAAGGAGTCCCATACTTGCAGGTATGGAGTGTAACATGTGTGTTGAGATGGTGCTACTATGTATGATAACCGACGGTGCTATATTCCATACAGGTGGAGCAGTCTGATGTGTTAAGGGATAGTGTAAGAAGGAATGACCGAGGTAAGGTGGTTACAGATTGTTATGCAATAAGTAGGTGGATGACACGCCATTAATGTAAGAGTCTGGGGCCCATCTGGGTAACCAACATTTTCGTTGTTCTTCTGAGGAAGGCCAATTCATGTATATGTTTTTTACCAGTATGCTTTATAAGGAATAAATTAATTAAGACATGTTATGGTTTCACCTTTCTTTCCCCTTATTGATCTGGTCAATGGAAAACCTAGCCCAATGCCTAGTCCACTCTGCCCGCTACCTAACGAGCTACATGCTGTCCAGAGGGGGTCTGGTGGCAGCGACCCTTAGAAATTAAGATTAGAGTTAAGTATTTACCCTTAGTATTAACGACCCCAGAATCTGGCAGTATACAGTATCAATACAAAATGTAAAACTTCATTGGTCAGCGGAATAAAAGCTTGTCAAAGATGCCTCAAACTTACTTTGGTGACCTTCATGGCTACCCCTTCTGGCAGGTTTCTCTGGATGTAATCGAGGAAGGTGTCTGCCGTGGAGCCCGTCAGTCTCGCAAACTTCATTACCAAGAAATGTGTCCGCACTTCATACTGCACACGATGATGTTTATAAATGTGAACTGATTTAAGTAAAGTCCAGCGCTTGATGTGTTTCTTTGGCCACAAACTAGGAAAATGAAAATATGTGAGAAATGGGAGTCTTTAAAATACTGTACCCAGGTACCCTAAATATCCCCACCATTGTGAACTATATAGTACATACAGGAGATGAGTCAAGGGGTAAAACTATTGATTTATGTAAGAAACTTATTTTTATCCACTACAGAGTTCAAACACCCTTAATACCACAAGCACATGTTCATTATGTTGGCAAAAACTAAGTTTCAAATCAATCCAAAATACAGACGTACAGTGGAGTCGCAATAATTTGTGGGTTAGGTAACACAAGACATTGTGAAGTAAAGTTTAATTGATTTAAATGGAAATTATTAGTTTGGTACCAGAGTATAAAAAAACCTATAATCTTTCCCAAAACTGCTGTAATAAACACTAAACATCATACATAATATATACATACAGTAACAGTAATATCTCTGACAGCCGGAATTGGAATTTTCTTGGAAAACCGTTCCCAAAGCCAGAATTTTCTGGAAAATTATGGCTTTGGGAATGGTTTTCCGAGGGGCACATTTTCCGGAAAATTCCGAGAAAATTTTCCCGATACCCAGAAAATTCTGGGGATGGGAGAGTTTTTTCCGGGTTTGAGAGATGAAAATCGGGTGCATTTTCCGGAAATTCTAAGAAAACTTTTCCGGTACACGCATAATTCCAGGGATGGAGGATAGTTTTCAGGATTCGAGAGTAATGGGCAATTTCTGGAACTTTCAAGAACATTTTTCTGTTACCCGGAAAATTCCGGGAATGAGACTTTTTTCCGACTGAGAGAGTCGTCTCGTTACCCGGAAATCTCTCATTCCCGGAAGTGCTCTGCATCAACTGTTCCAGCTAATGGAGATATCACTGTACTGAAATTATATTTACACAATTTATATGGTTTCTTGTGTAAATAAAGACTGTGACAGTCAGTACTCAGCATCAAATTAAGATTATTTGGCTGAAAATAAAAAAAGTACTGTAGTAATAGAGTTGCCAGTAAATTTAACATAATTATTGCGACTCCAGTGTCCCATGAGTATTAAGGTGAGGCTGACAGGAAGCCTTTTGCTAGATCTGCACTTGATTCAATTAAATGTAACAAGAACAAAAAGACATACAATAAGCCAACCCAATCTGCTGATTTTCAATTTGATTTACTTATCCATGGACGATTGAACTACTGTGTGGCAAAGAAAAAAAATGATAGGCAAGAGATAGGTAAACATTGATTTGGAAACAGAGTAGTGGATGAGTGGAACAAGTTACCAAACATCATCATTAACTCGAGTAGTGGATGAGTGGAACAAGTTACCAAACATCATCATTAACTTGAACACACTGGATAGCTTCAAATATAGGTTGGATGGATACTGCATATGAGCAATAGAGGTTGGATGTAAATAGGGCTGCCTAGTATGAACCAATAGGCCCTCTGCAGTTTCCTCTATTCTTATGCTCTGATATTCTTAATCTACACAAAACCCACACCCTCTGTGGTAAAAAACCTGAGCCTATAGAAATGTAACGCCAGTGATTGGGAGGGATTTACTGTACTGTAGATGGAAATAAAGGAAAACAAAGAGATCATACACATCCTCCACTGGAATACTGAGATGACCAGCAGCTGTGGAGACAAATGTATTGTAGGAGCGCAGCACTGCAGGCTCATGACCTCGACACTCAACTTCTATTTGGCTGTATAGTCGGTCTGGTTCTCCAACAGTTAGTTCCTGTAAACAACAAACAAATCACATTTTCTAAAAGCTATATAAGGCATACAGTATACACAGTGTCTCATTAAAATGCATATACTGTATACAGGTTGTCAGTATAAGGCATATATACAAGGTTTCTCATTATAAGGTATAATGTATATACAGGATGTCTCATATAAACAGGATGTCTGATAGGATGCATACCATAGGATTTTTTTCTTCCTTTTCAGGTGATGGAATCATAGGGGAAAGAGTCAGTTCAATTATCATGTATGGAAAGCCAGATGCTACACACCAATCAGTTACAAAAGAAAATTATAAAAAACATTCAGGTAAGAACACTGACCACACAGGTGTCGGATGATTAAGTGGTTGAACAGACAATTAAAAAATAAAAATTAATTAATTCTCCTAAGGTATGTGACTTATGAGACATCTTGTACATTTACTAACCACTTCCTACAGTATCACAAAATAATTTACAGGTGAAAGTAACACATCAAATTTATTTTTGCAGTTGTGGCAATACTTACACTTGAAGGCTGAGAATACGACAAATTCGATGTGTGGAATAATCTTGGCGAGGAGCCAGTTTGAGGTAACCAACTGGAGCCTGATGATGGACTGGCACTTGTGTTCTCAGCTAACCGGGCACAACACACCGGTGTTGTACGTGACAGTCCTCTTGGTACTACATGCTGGCCAAACACACTTCCAATGCCCTGTGGATTCACCAAACTTAATTAGTATACTCCACTAAACATACACTCATGGCTTAGACTATCTGATGGGCTGAGCAGCTTTTATCCAATACAGATTATTATGTGATAAGGTATATACATTAACAACAAAAATGTCAAACCAAATATTAATATCTTCTCCCCAACATTTTTTGGAAGGGGCTGGTTAAGTTTGATTACTTAAAAGGAAAAAAATAAAAAAGAGACAAACAACTCAAACCAAATTCCTGAAACTGTGTGACCACATTTTATCAACAGCAGCTACAGTAGCTATGCCTGAACTCAGAATCACCAAACTGTTCTACCCATACCTGGAATTGCTGAGGTAAAAAAAAAAAAATAATACTAAAATAACAGTTAATAAATATATACAAGGACCACATAAAGGTTGAGCATTCCCAGCTTATTTCACCTGATGACTAAACACCCAAACAATAACCTAATCTAATCTTACCTAACCCCCAAATCAGGCAATGTAAGTTGGAGTTCTTAATTTTCATGTGATTCTAACAGATTGATGTGTGAAATTTGGGCAAATTTGGGCTTAAATGTAATTAGCGCCAGAAATACCATTGAAGAAAACTGTCTTAGAATAGTTAAAATTAATGATTGCAACTATAAAATTACCAAGATTCGTTTAGTGGCAACAAGTGAAATAATACCAAGTAACCTACCTAACCTTACCTAACTTACCAGAAAAAACTTTTAAAGCCCCTCTAACGACACTGACTGGATTCTCGTTTCCATTTACTGGCTAATATGGTGGACTTCACAGCTGACGAGTTATTTGTTTTGATGTTTATATTCTAACTATATTTTCATCAGTGAGTTGTGATAGAATAATAATTTTTATGGAAAGTGCTTCGTTTGGTAGATAATTACTGGTAAGCGAAGAGGCGCACATTACTTTGTCTTTCTTGGCGGAGATGCGGCGGTAAACAGTCACTCATCTCCGATCAACGCCGGTCGCCTGTGTATAATGCCGGGGATCGGAGGGTGGAGTCTCACGGCTAGGAGTTTAGGTAAGGTTGGGTAGGTTTCATTGGCTAGGTTGGTGAGGTCTTCTAACAACGCTTCTGCCGCTTGCTTTTCTTATCAACTAAGGTTGTGTTTGGTTTAATTTAGAAATAACCACCTTTTAACACATTTACCATGACTACAACCTTGTCCACTATAAAATACAGTGAAATTGCGGAGTTGTTACATTCGTTTTCTATGAGAAATCAGCGACTACAAAGTTGTAAATAATTACTCATTAATCTATTTAATAAATTGTATAATTAACGTTTCCACAAAGTTTTGTCTAATTCTATTAACTACTGGTGTTAGCCTATTTACAATAAAGGTTTTATTTTACATAGCGCACCCCAAAGTTATAAACTACTGAAACATTTAGATCTCCCTATTCTGGGTATTTTGAACCCCATATTCAGAGCCGTCCCAAGGGTATGGCAACCGGTGCGACTGCCCCGGGTCCTGCGGCCCTTACCCCACCCAACACCAGAATTACTGACCGCGTTAAGCTGACCTCACCTTACCACCCAGATTTATGGGGACCACCTGAAGGATTAGTGACCAGCACAGTTAGGCAATGCATCTGCTGACATGAGGTCAAAGGTAAGATTAAGCCACCCCATCTTACCACCCAGACTGAGAACAATGTCATTCTTTATTGTGCTCTCTGTCGAAGAGGAGTGAGGAAGTTGACAGCGGTTCACCTGTCAGTGTTGTCGAAACTCTGAATCTCCAGTTGTCCGCGATTTGTGTTTTGTGAAATTGTTGGTATACATTATTTTACTATCGTACACAGCCCTCGTTTTGTATTATACCATTTCCAGCAGAGATAGAGACAGATACAGAAAATACATCTGGGGTGCAGAGAAAAGGCAGAAAAAAGGAAGAGAGAAGAAATGAAAGGTTCCCTAGAAAAATATGTGTTTCCAGAAACACCAGAAACTAGTGACAACAAGGACCTGAGTGGGTCTGTTCAAGCTGAGGAGAGTACTGAAAAAAATACTAAGGCTTTTAAAATGGACAGTTGTACCCACGCTAACGGTCATGCTGATGATCTATGTGATCCAGCCAACTGGCCTCATTACTGGACACTACGAAAATTGATAATTTGGTATAAGAGGGACCTGTTAAGGTATCTAGTGAAAATTATGTATTTAAAAAAAATGGTGAAAACCGACACTTTTCAGAAGACTTTTACATACGAAGATTGACCTGTATATAAAAGATGTTATAAGGAACAATTTCCGCCCAAAATGAAGGTCAGATCGTTTAATCACACCAAAATACACTGGACAAACATATTGGTCTACCCCGAGGGACTCAGGTACTACAGTGAAAATTTACCATGGTGGCACAAGTCCATGTGCCATAATCCAGAATTTCCAAACTGCACTGTTAGTCTAGATATTGGCAAAAGGATCCAGAAGTACGTACTGCACATATTAAACAAATAAATACGAGTTTTGAGAACACTTACACCTTGTTTTGTGCCAATGTTTAACAGTGATCTGGTGATATTCATTTCTTCCCCTGTTCCTCCAGACGTCTTTTACACAAAGGTGTCTCGTCACTTTCACTGCATACGTTTCCTGGTTGTCTGTTAATTATTATCTCTTTGTTTTCCTAATACTGTAAACTGTATAAGAGTTAAGTCCTGGGCCTCAGTGTGTCCGGCAGACTACACCATCGTGTTGGGTAACTACCACGAACAATACCACGATTTCTTTCTTTTTTGCTTCATTAGAGGCAAAAGAGTTAAACTAATTTTACAAAAATAATTAAACTATTTAATCTTAATTTTAATTACGCCTAATAAGATCTAAAACCATATGTCGTCTAAAATGTAGGTTATATTTTATTCGTGGCAGCGTTTAAACATCATATTTTATAACAACACTACTGAGCGAGTATCCTCTTCACCACTGATCGGCTCGTTAGCCGTTGGGCGGTCAGTCACGACTCTTGTTACACAGTATTAGCAAGTACTGAGAATGCACTGGCTCCTGAATGCATCTGAACCTGCTCCAGCACTTGTAGAGTCTAGTTTTGAAAGAGCTCACACTCGGTGCCGTCACAACACTCCCTGGCAGATTGTCCCAAGAGTTCACAACTCTCACTCCGATAAAGTTACCCCTCACAGTTTTCTGGACTTGCGGCTTCTTCAACCTTGAGCTGTGACCCCTTGTGGGGCGAGCGTCCGCCATCTCCAGGTATGGACACTCGACTGAGTAGTGCCATTTGAGATGTGTATACACCTCAATTAGGTCCCCCCTTGCCCGTCTGTAGTTTAAGCTAGGCAATTTCAGGCGCTCTAATCTCTCAGGGTAGCTGAGGTGCCGGAGTCTCAGGGTAGCTTAGGTGCCTGAGTCTCAGGGTGGCTGAGGTGCCGAAGACTCAGGGTAGCTGAGGTGCCGAAGTCTCAGGGTAGTTGAGGTGCCGAAGTCTCAGCGTAGCTAAGGTGCCAAAGAAACTCTTACAACATTTTTGGCGAATAAATAGACAGATGCTTATCATTAAAATCGAGTAACAGCTTCACTTTGGTTTAACTTGTACTATACCTAGACTGTACAAATATACAGAAATAGGTAAACCAAGTAAATCACTTTAACCTGGATAGCCCAATAAAACAGTACTATATAATTATATCCTGTTGCTTTTAGTTGTAACTTCTGCCAACAGGTGTGAAAATCACCTATTTGATTCCACGTTATAAACGGACTGGTTGAACCAATTTCTAAAGCAATAAAAGGTGGCATAAGGTATAGTTTACTCTGGCTACTAAATGTTTCCTCCTGTACTGACAATAAAATTCATAACAAAGTAACAAATGATAAATAAAAATAAAAATGAAAGGTATTTTACTGTACACGTAATACTGTATTATAGATACCTTAGGCTATATTGTGCTTTATTCTTCATGTGCAGGACGGCATCGTTATATTATATATATATATATATATATATATATATATATATATATATATATATATATATATATATATATATATATATATATATATATATATATATATATATATATATATATATATTGTTCTAACTGGCTATGTAGTAACGTCTACTTGTTAGCTCTGTATGTACTGTTCTAACTGGCTATGCAGTAACGTCTACTTGTTAGCTTACAGAGCTAACTGGCTATGTGCAAACTGTATTAACTGTATTACTGTACTCTGTATTTATTTTAGTTTCTGCTGCATATCTGCTGTCTTATCAGTCGTTTCCGCTCTGTTATCTAATATTTTAGACAGCAGCTCACACCTCTACATATAATGAACAGTAAGACTCACACACACACACACACACATACAGTATATATATATATATATATATATATATATATATATATATATATATATATATATATATATATATATATATAATTAATTACTCGGTTCACAACAGTAAAAAAATCGAAGTTTTCTAAGTTTTAACAGTTCACAGATATCTTGATCTTAGGTGATTTTTTTCAGTGATCTATATTTTCATTTCAATCATTACATCGCTGGGATTCAATAATTTTTATTTGATCAATAAAACTGGTTTTATTTGAGATGAATATAGTAGGTAGTAGGCAGCTATCAAACAGGGAAGTATTGTAGTGGATTTCTCCCCTACAAACGCTGTTTGTCGCTGTGTAGCCGACCCCACGAATTCCACAGTGTGTGCCTCTTTCTACCTACACCAACCAGCCAGCAACACCTCCTCCTCCTCCTCCGCCTGCCTGGCGGTCCTCGCTCCCGCCGGCGAGCATGGCGACCCACAAGCTGGTCCTCCTCTGAGCATCCTCACCAACCAGCTCTCTCTACATCACGCCATGTAACCATGCTGCCTTCCCAGCACCAAGCTGCATTGTACACATCCATATAAATATGTACAGAGAGCACATTGTGAGTTTCCTTTCTCCATCCCATCCTGAGTGTGAGCCAAACATCTCATACCCCACAGTACCACCGCCTGGGAAGATATTGGAAGCATAATGTGTTGTCTAATGGTAGACCCTGCTGCCATATGGCATCACGAACATTGTGACCAAGTCCCAGGTTGCTGATCTGACTTTCTGCCTCATGTACACACAATTGCAGGTCTCAATTGTTTCTCTTACTTTGACAACACAACATACATACTGTATATTGTTTCTCACTCGTTTTTGTATTCATTTATGGTTATTATTATTATTTAATTATAATTTTTATCTATTTTTATTAATTATTATTATTATTATTATTATTATTATTATTATTATTATTATTATTATTATTATTATTATTATTATTATTATTATTATTATCATTATTATTATTGGCCCCCAGGCCCTGATGTGGGTCAGTGACCTGTGCTCGGATGGGCTAATCCCCGTAAAAAAAAATTGTTGATCCAAAAGGACAACAACAACAATAATACAAATAATAATTATCATAATAATTCAGTGCAATTGTCATACAGGTTTACGATTAGATATGCATGTATATAAACTATGCAGTTATACAATTCATCATGAATATTATCAATAATATATATATATATATATATATATATATATATATATATATATATATATATATATATATATATATATATATATATATATATATATAATAGGTATACGGTTTATGTAGGCTGTGGGAATATACTGTACAGTTTTCTGTGCCTAGAGCCCTAGACAGTACAAATACATCTATGATAAATAGTAGATGGTCCAGTTGAGTTTTAAATTTGGTTATTATTCACAAATGTATACATACTTTTCGCATGTATATCTAATACCACTTTCAAAGGTGACCCCCAAACCTCATGTATGGCTGACAAGTTGCGCGCGCACTTATCACTCGTTGACAGTGCTCCCTCAACCTTATCTATATTTACTTCTTATTTAATCATAAAACCAGTGCTACCATTATGGCGTAGCGAAATAATTGATGGTAGAGAGATAATTATAGAAATATGGCATTAAGTAATGATTAAAATAACATAGGCCAATGTCTAATGTTAAAAGAGCAACCACGAGGAGGACACATTGAAATGAAATTATTGGTTTCAAGATGACACAGGCAAAACAAATAAATTTATAAAAAAAAATTAACTAGAAATTTCAAGTTTAAATAGCCAAAGCTCTTTAAAATGAAGAATAAATAATAATGACTTGGCGATCCCGTTCGTGTATTTTCTTCAACATTAGCGACCTTACCACCCCAGGCCCCCAGCTGTTCAACTTATCGATCAACAGCCAGCCACAGCCAGTCGAGGCTGGGCACGAGCGGGAGTCCTAAGTCTGATCATTCGCTCAAGCGTGAATGCTGTTTAACGCGAAATAGTCCGTCCATTTAAAGTATCAAGTGGTAAACAAAACATCCTTAGATAGGATATTAGTACCATGGCCTCTACAGCCGGGCACTTGATAAAGTGTTTATTAAAACCTACAAATTTACGGGGTTGGCGGGGGTGTACCGGTAAACTGAGGTCCTATTATACATACTCCCATGAGCCATTCCACCCTCTGAAGCGGGTACCCGCTTGGAAGACTGCAGAGGAGGCTGTGTCTGTCATTAAATCTGGTAAGTATATTATAATAATGAACTGCGACACGTCCTATTTTATTTATCAATTGTTTACCTATTTATGGAATGGGATATTTTTGGCATGTTTGGGATATTTGTTTTTTGTAAAAATTGAACATTATGGCATTAAATTTTGGGTAATGGCAAAGTTATTGAAGTTTCGGGCAAATACAGTACCTACAGTATACTGTACAGTATATAGAAACCGCCCGCTACTCGACCCAGCAACGATATATACTGTATATATATATATATATATATATATATATATATATATATATATATATATATATATATATATATATATATATATATATATATATATATATATATATATATATATATATATATATATATATATATATTTTAATTCTCTCTATACTGGTGACAACTGTTATTTGTGCATATACACCACTTTTAGTTATGGCCCTTCTCCTTCATTAGGTTAGGTTGGTTTGGTTTTTAGATTAGGTATTTTTTCTAGGTATCGCTAACTTTCATCCCGGGAGTCACTAACCATTGTCACCACCTGCTTATACCAGATAATTTAGATATAGTTCTGCTACACTACCAAACTTATACTGCTCAACGTTGGGTTAGTTATAAACACCTGGTGATTTTGATTGACCTCAAGTCGTTTTTCACCACATTGTTTTGTCTTCCTTTTGATTATGAAAATTAATCACCGGACACATTATGTGTTGGTTAGAACAGTTGAGGAACTTGAGGGTTGTCTGAGACTGGTTCTGGCTACACTTATTAAAACAGTAAAACATTTGAAGACCATTTGAACAATAATACATGTATAAAATACCCTGTAGTATAAAACATCGTAACGTCTAAAAACACTGTACAGTAAGTAGATGTGTTCGTTGTGCCGTGTGCCGTATTTGAAACCAACTGTTGCTATTACCGGTATGACTAAGTAAAAAACATAATTGTTCCATTTGAATGCCAAACAACAAAATATAAGTAGCGCGAGAAGAGGTTGGATTATACTGGAACTCTTGTGAAGAATAAATAAATGAATAATTGTACAGTAATACCCACAGTACTGCTCCATCTACTGTACTGTCGACCTCGGGCCAAGAAGTCAAAAAGCTGGCTAACACGGTGTGTACAATGTACTGTAATTAGAAAATGCTTGGTATTCTAGGAGACAGTTACACAGAAGCTAGAGCCTAAATTGAACAAAAAATACACAACTTGCATAATACTTATGGCAAAAGATATCCAATTAGTTTATGCTGTATTGAAGTAGGGTTTGTTTAACGGAAACAAAAGTTGAGAATTATTATGTGAAGAAAGCATGTAGTTTGGACCTGTAGAATTCATATATAACGTTTGGGGTATGCAGCGTGCCTGAAGCACCAATTCCTTACTACACCCTCTGTAGTCTTGCTCTTTCCGATCAAGTGTAAAACTGGGTCCTGCGGGATTTGTGCAATCTCGCTTTAGGTGCAATGAGGAATTCAACTGTACCTTCTAACTCAAACTGTAATGACTTTCCTAACTGCAGTAAATCAAATAACATCCAGGAAATTTGAGTAGTAATTTTCTGCATGCAGATACTAATATTTAAAGAGCATTTTACTTCATAGTCCCCCCTTTCTTGCTGGCAGATAATACACTTGTTCCAATCCATTTTGTTAGATTGATAGTTTTGTAGAAAGGAAAAAAAAGTTATGGATATGCAGCCATGACTCAATCATCAGTAAAACGGGAAAGTAACACCATATTTATTAATTGAAGGGAATCGGATTCTAACAACATTTCAATCATGCATCTACAATATTGTTCCTGAGTCCAGTACCAGTAATTGTCGTTTTTATTTGGAGGGCTCACGCGCACTCAGGCGGGTCACATTTTTTTCCTGCTCTGAGGATTACTTACTGTCCATCATTTTATGCCAAACGTTGATTTTCCGGTTGTTTTGATAATAAACATTATTTGTGCACACCTACACTTTCTTTATAGAAATAATATACATATCTAGAAATTCCCCTACTATTTAGAGGAAATGGAAATAGTGAAACAAATATATAATGAACATGAAAGCTTAATTTAAAATACTGTATCTTAGGTACAGCTACATAAATGCACGGAGTATGTGATAACAGGAAGCCGAATTCTTTTGAACCCTGCAAAGTGCAAATATTTAGGTCACTCCTTAATTTTAAGACTTGCAGAAACGGAAATTCTTAATGACAGCTCATCCTGTCTTAATTTCACTGCTCGCGGTGTAATAACGGCCATGTATTGTATACGTCCAAACCTCTATTCTGTTTTTGTCTACCCTCGCCCTTAACGTACACACCCAGACACACATATACTGTATAATTATACAGTATGTGGTTACATTTTGTTCATTTCTTTGTATGGCATGTTAAACTAAAACAATTCGATAAAGAAGGTGAAGAGAGTGGTACTACACTAATCCTTGCTTCACCTTTCATGGCTTGTATTGCAGGCTTCATTTTGACGAGTGACACAGACACTTGGCTGTCCTCTTGCGCCAGGCAGCCCAGCGAGACGGCGACTATCATCTTGCGCAAGTCTTTTACATCTGAGCCAACATTTCTATCCATTTATAAATATGATCACAGCTGAAGTAATGCAATTTGTTTCCCAAACTGTACATTAATTGCATCATTTTGTTAAGTAATGAGTAGTTATATAACGTTAAAATACAGTTGCCGGACATTAGGTTAGGGTTTGAGAAGATATTTTATTAGTATGTTCAGTAATGTATACTCAGTAAGTACAGTAAATGGGTCGACAGTTTTCAGAACTGGGAAATAATGAACGGTTTGACAAGATAAACTGATGGTAGCAGTTATCACCAGCTTTACTTTAATATGAGAATGCATTTAGATGGCTAAGTTAAGACATCACATAATTATGTAAAATCAAAGCGGCCCCAAAATTACACTGTGACTTCACCGTACCAAACGTGCAGTGTGTCATCTCCAGTTCAAAGAAACGTTGCCTGATGAATCTCCGAGCCAAGGAGCAGTGATGCAGGTAACGTTGTTTTCCTCGTGATGAAATTTATCCCATTAGATTTTTGTCGGAGATAATTTTGAAAAATAGCATTAAAATAGTGACGGTACTTGTGTTGTAGCTTTGATGTTAGAAATATTTGTTTGTGTTGAAGGTTGTCACGTAAACTCAACAATCTGTGTGTGTAGCCTTGATATAATGCGTCAATAAGTCTGTATTTTCGTGTACTGTTTTATCATTATATTGGGGAATTTAATTTTCAGTTGTATTGTCCCTATACAAAATACGTTATAAATAAAATTAGTACAGTAGTTTAATATTTGAAATAAAAAATATTAATACCGGTACTTATTTCCTGAAATAATAACTATGTTATTGTATTTTATCTGCTATTTTATTAGTAATGTTTTGTTAATATATTTAATTACTTCATTGTAGGTGATGTGGTGTTTGTGCACGGAGCGGCTGCCACACCTCTTAAACTGGTGGGGGCGATGGCTGAATACGGAAAGAAGCAGCAGCTGAGTAATGTAACAGTCTGCCACATACACACGGAGGGGTCAGCAGTCTACGCCCAGGCCGACTGTGAAGGTAAAATTTATATCACTAGTTAGGTTTGGCTATTATTTTTTTGTCATGTTATAGCTAGATTAAATTTTGTTAGGTTAATTTTTTGAATTATGTTTGGTTTGAATATAAATCGGTTAGTTATTATTTCTTGGTTAGTTAAGGTCACGTTATGGTATGTTCAAGTTTAATTGGTTAATTTAGGTTAAACTTTAAGTTACATTTTGTTTCGTTTTCTCAACTCACAAGAAAGCCAACATGCTAGCTCTTAGCGGAGAAGACAACACGCTAACTATGGCATCTCACTGGTAAAGCTTGTGTTCCTTAACTTATGGGTAATCCATCAGAAAGACTGATGGAATTTTTACTTTGTGCGAGATACTTGCATGCAAGTGCTGACGGCCTCGCGAGGGGGAAGACTGGCATACTTGTGGCTGTTGACACGGGGCGCCTACTCTCACGGGTTAGTTGGCACCAAGATGTGCTCTGTTATAACATGGCTCATAATTGCAATTTCGTTTGGTTTAAAAAGAATGAAAACTTAGTTACCAAACTGGAGTGTCTCGATTCTCCAGTTTTTCCTTAAAAACTGATTAGCAAGAGGAAACCAAATCAGTGACAGCATCAACATCCAGCTCCACTCTGCTTGATTTTGTGTACCTCAAGCCTCCAAGTGTTCCCAATATTTTTTTTCCAAACAATTACAAATCTGAAATTTTAATTTCCTTTTATCGTGGCGTTTGCTGTTCTGCACTGATCCTGTCATGTGTTTTGTATAATGTTCATTACTACTTCCCAAGCTCACCTAAGCCTCCCCCACCTGGTCTTCCTCCCTAAATGCCACACAACGTAAACACCTAGAAAATGTGCAAAAGAGGGCATGCAAGATTATTCTCTCCCCTTCCTACTCCACATATCAAGAAGCGCTCAACACACTGACCCTTTCAACTGTCACTGACCATCACCACGACCTCATCTGCAAATTTGGTAAGAAGCTTCTACACCATCCTCGACACCGGCTCCTACTACCACCTGAGATCCCTAGCCTGAGAATTGCTGTTCGACACCACAACCGCATCCAGCCCATACGTGCACGAACTGATCGCTATAAGAACAGCCCAGTCCCAACCATTGTAAAAATTATCAATAACTTGTAATAAGCCAGTGTATTCACTCCCAGTAAATACTACTTCTTGCACTGTCACTATGTTGAAATGCACTGTAGTTTGAGCTTTTCCCCATCTAGTTATTATATATCTTATTTGTATCACTTATGTTACTTGTATATTATTTGCAATTCGAAACCCATTCCCCAAATATGTAACTGTATATTTTCAGCCTTCTGGCTGCCAAGCTCTTTCAATAAACCGTTAATTATTATTATTATCATTATTATTATGTCCACGAGGAGAATGAGAGACAGCCACCACAATGGAATGGCATGTCGATGGAGAATGCAGACATATGGGTTAAAGAAACTTACTCAGAAGTTGTCAGGTGGTCGCCAGCTAACCTGTTTGAACCACCCAAGTGTGCGGCCACCAAAGAAATGATTCGGGAGATGATTCGTCTCATAACTGAGTACACTCAGGACTGCTTCCTTGTCCCTTTAGCTCTTCAAATACTGGCAATAATACTACATCTATTCTGTCAGAGGACACACACAAAGACTAAGCACAAAGAAAATGCGGCAGCAATGAAGAGAAGATTGACATTGTGGCAGAATGGGGCCCTTGATGATCTCCTATGTGAAGCAAGAACACTGCAGGAGAGACTAAAATTTACAGGTGACGGAAAGCAAAACACTGATGACGTTGCAAGAAAGTTTGGAAACAAAATGCGTGTGGGAAAAGTGTCTTTGGCGGTAAGATCTCTCACAGAGGAATCCTCCGGTGGGGTTCTGCCAATAAACAGAGAGACATTAAAACAGCTGAAAGAAAAACATCCCCCTGCAAGTGAAGACGAAGGTATTAGGTTCCAGGGTGACTATTTCCCACCAAATGCTGTCCTGTTCGAGAAAATAACAGGAGGGATGGTGTGGAAAAAGGCACTGAAGACTCGAGGAGGAGCCGACCCTTCAGGTCTGGATGCAAACGGTTGGAGAGTCATCCTCAGCACTAACAAGTTTGGCCATGTAGCAAGTGATCTCTGCACTGCCATTGCCGTCCTTGCAAGAAAGCTGGCATCCTCTTGCTGCCATCACCTCCACGCTCTGACGGCCTGCCGCCTCATTCCTCTGGATAAGAATCCAGGATGTAGACCAATAGGAGTGGGGGAAGTGCTGAGGCGGATCATCGGAAAATGCATAATGGAGGTGGTAAAGGATGATATCAGAGCAGCGGCAGGGAACCTGCAAGTTTGTGCTGGCCACCAGGCTGGAGGGGAAGCTGCCATTCACTCCATGAGAACGATATTTGAGCAGCCTGATTGTGAGGCAGTTCTCCTGGTGGATGCTTCCAACGCATTCAACATACTTAACCGCAAGTGTCCAAGCTTTGCAATGTATGTTGAAAACTCCTATAGGAATCCATCAGACCTCTATATAGTAAACAACAAGGCCCTAAGAGGTGATACCATCATACAGTCAACCGAGGGAACAACACAGGGGGACCCTATTTTAATGGCAATGTACCTGAACCTGCTCCAGTGTTGGTCAAGTCTAGTCTTGAAAGAGTTCACACTCGGTGCCGTCATAACACTCTGGTAGATTGTTCCAAGAGTTCACAACTCTCATTCCGAAAAAGTTTGCCCTCACAGTTTTCTGGACTTGCGGCTTCTTCAATCTTGAGCTGTGACCCCTTGTGGGGCGAGCGTCCACCAGCTCCAAGTAAGGACACTCGACTGAGTAGTGCCCTCTGAGATGCTTATACACCTTAATTAGATCACCCCTTGCCCGTCTGTTGCTGTAACCAGCCCGATCTTGTTTGCTGTTGGGATACACTCTGTGGTTGAATGAGTTTTTCCATGCTGTCCTGACAAAGGCAGCATTTATTCCAGTTAGTTTGCTGTCTTTGGTTGGTTTGTTCTGTCATTTTTCCAGACTACTTAACCAATGGTTCAAGGCAGAAAGTTTATTCTTTTACCACGTCTTACCATTATGCACTTTGGTGTATGGGATACAACTAGGTTCATTCATGTGCCATACACCTAGCCCGATCGTTCATCCAGTGCCATTTAAATCCCGTGCGATCTGTACACTGCCCGGATAACTATAACCCCCATTATCCTTGACTTGGCTCTCCCGCGCTGCAGGCACATCTTGTCAATTCAGGCGCGACTATATAACCTCTTAGGGGGGGGGGGGGTAGATTAGACAGCATTTAGGATAATAACTTTCAATTCAAGTTAACTGACATTGAACCCCATGCTGAGTTTAACAGTGAATATCGCCAGTGTGCCCTGGTAGTGCAAACATTTACTCTTCTTAGTCTATTGATATGATATATGACTGCAAGGCCGTCCAAATAACAGTAGAAATTTATTTTCACTGTGCTCCATCAGGTTGGAGTTAGACTTACTTCCTCACACCCAGCCATTTGGCTGTGTGCTACCCTCATCTAGTTTAGCCAGTGAGCCAACACGATGTTCCAGGGTGTGGACGTCGCTGTGCACAAGCGACTTCTAGGAGCCATGGGTGTCGAGTCGGGCGAGTAGTGAGGACCAGTGTACTGTAGGTACAGTCCATCCTGACGGGATGTGGTTGGCTACATAAACAAAAGTACTACCTCTACTACTGCTTCCCCTTCACCATTTGTCCAATATTGCATAAAATTTTGCCTCATATTTTCTAATTTGTCCGAAAAATGGTACAAGTATGGATAGAAGACATCCAGGGTTGGCAAAATCAGTTTCAACGTGGTTTAAAACATTGGAATTGACACTAATGTCACTTAAATCGAACACCTTGACGAAAAGATGCATTTTCAAGTCAGATGGCGGCCATCTTGAAAAATAGGTTTTCATGTGCTAGCATTTTTTTCATAAAAGGCGACCCAAGGCGAGTATTCATGCCAACTTTCATACCTGTATCACCATTTGAATGATTCGGCCCAAAAACTACTTTTTCCTGCTGCACTACCTGCATTGTCGATAAACATGCTGAACTGTATACCTACATTGTCTTTATAACTGTCAAACCAATTTTAAACTTGTATGATGACTTTACAAAATAATGAATAATTTCTTATTATTATTCACAGGCGGATCTTGCAAGGCTACGTAGTTGTTTACAATATGTTCCCAAACAGCTACGATTATGAGAAATTTGCTGTTAATGTATCAAATGTAACAGTATATTATAATGAATTGAATAATTATCGTTTCAATTCTTTCAACAGGTATTTTCAGGAGCAATTCCTTCTTTATCGGGCCTAACTGTCGCGCGGCCATTAGTGAAGGACGGGGCGATTTTGTGCCAATATTCCTTTCAGAAATTCCACTACTCTTCCATCGACACATCATTGATATTGACGTAGCACTCGTCCAGGTAAATGGCGTTGATGTGGCACTTGTTCAGGTGAAGTGTGTTGATGTGGCACGTGTTCAGGTGAGGTGTGTTGATGTGGCACTTGTTCAGGTGAAGTGTGTTGATGTGGCACTTGTTCAGGTGAGGTGTGTTGACGTGGCACGTGTTCAGGTGAGGTGTGTTGATGTGGCACTTGTTCAGGTGAGGTGTGTTGATGTGGCACTTGTTCAGGTGAAGTGTGTTGATGTGACACTTGTTCAGGTGAGGTGTGTTGATGTGGCACTTGTTCAGGAGAGGTGTGTTGATGTGGCACTTATTCAGGGGTGGGGTGTGTTGATGTGGCACGTGTTCAGGTGAGGTGTTGATGGTGTTCAGTGAGTGTGTTGATGGCACTTGTTCAGGTGAGGTGTGTTGATGTGGCACTTGTTCAGGTGAGGTGTGTTGACGTGGCACTTGTTCCAGGTGAAGTGTGTTGATGTAGCTTGTTCAGGTGAGGTGTGTTGATGTGGCACTTGGTGAGGTGTGTTGATGTGGCACTTGTTCAGGTGAGGTGTGTTGACGTGGTGTGTTCAGGTGAAGTGTGTTGATGTGCACTTGTTCAGGTGAAGTGTGTTGATGTGGCACTTGTTCAGGTGAGGTGTGTTGATGTGGCACTTGTTCAGGTGAGGTGTGTTGATGTGGCACTTGTTCAGGTGAAGTGTGTTGATGTGGCACTTGTTCAGGTAAGAGGTGCATTGATCGCACTTGTTCAGGTGAAGTGTGTTGATGGCACTTGTTCAGGTGAGGTGTGTTGATGTGGCACTTGTTCAATTCAAGGTGTGTTGATGTGGCACTTGTTCAGGTGAAGTGTGTTGATGTGGAACTTGTTCAGGTGAGGTGTGTTGACGTGGCACGTGTTCAGGTGAGGTGTGTTGATGTGGCACTTGTTCAGGTGAAGTGTGTTGATGTGGCACTTGTTCAGGTGAGGTGTGTTGATGTGGCATTTGTTCAGGTGAGGTGTGTTGATGTGGCACTTGTTCAGGTGAGGTGTGTTGATGTGGCACTTGTTCAGGTGAAGTGTGTTGATGTGGAATTGTTCTGGGTAAGTGTGTTGATGTAGCACTTGTTCCAGAGGTGGGGTGTGTTGATGTGGCACTTGTTCCCAGGTGAGATTTGATGTGGCACTTGTTCCAGGTGAGGGTGTGTTGATGTGGCACTTGTTCAGGTGAAGTGTGTTGATGTAGCACTTGTTCAGGTGAAGTGTGTTGATGTGGGCATTCCAGGTGAGGTGTGTTGGCGTGTACGTGTTCCAGGTGAGGTGTGTTGATGTAGCACTTGTTCAGGTGAAGTGTGTTGATGTGGCACTTGTTCAGGTGAGGTGTGTTGATGTGGCATTTTGTTCCAGGTGAGGTGTGTTGATGTGGCACTTGTTCAGGTGAGGTGTGTTGACGTGGCACTTGTTCAGGTGAAGTGTGTTGATGTGGCACTTGTTCAGGTGAGGTGTGTTGATGTGGCACTTGTTCAGGTGAGGTGTGTTGATGTGGCACTTGTTCAGGTGAGGTGTGTTGATGTGGCACTTGTTCAGGTGAAGTGTGTTGATGTGGCACTTTGTTAAAAAAATAGATTACGGTAACAATACTAACAACAGTTATGACAATACAGTTTTTACCCACAAAAATAATTAACATCGACTGTAAAACCAATGATACAGTACAGTACAGTAGTGATAAATAATACAGTAATTATAATTTAAAAATATTTGATCGTTACCGACTGGATGGTAATAAGATGGAAATAAATAATGAAAGTTTTATAATAGTTCATATATTTTGTTTTTTGCAAAGATATTAATTTTAAAATAGCAGTAAAATATTACTCGTAGTTAAGGCACCTCAAGGATTCAAGGATATTTTAGTGTTACTGTACAGATCATATTGATGAGTTTGCTGTTAAAATTAAATATTTGCTATAATAGAAAATGTGGGATGTATGAGGAGGGGTTGTCAAATTTTTTTATCATGTACTGTATTTCTTTTCCTTTCCTTAGAATTGATTTTGGACTGGGTAGTGTGTCATTGTAGCTGTGTCCCGTGTGTGTGTGGCATCCTAGCTCAGCGCCGTTATGGATTGTGTCATTTCACTCGTGTTTTTTATATGGTGATGAATAGAGAAGGCTACTTTAGAATTAGTGGCCATCTTTACTTAGAATTTTAATTGCTATATGCCTCTAATATTTATTCATCAGAACCATGATTTATGTTCACTAGTTATGACTCACTGGGAAGATTGCATGTTCTCTATCAAGTTAATGATAGTCATTGTATTCTGTAATACTTTGCATCTTTCTTATACATTCATTTTTTTCTGGGCACACTACATAATGAGCTACAATGCTATTTTTCAAGTTGTGTGTGTATCAGTTTTACTCCATTGATTATGTAATTAGGGTAGAAGAGATGCAGTAAACCACACAGTTAATTGTTCACATAAGACGATCGATATTTATTCCACAAAACTGACATGCAAGTTCACTTTGGTTTATCATTATACCTGCATAGTGCAGGTACACAGTCAGTGGTAAGCAATAAGTTCTCTTGATTAAGCAAATTTCCATGAGATTAAATATAACCTGTGGTGATGGCATCCCCACCTTGTTATTCAGCACTGTTATAACACACAAACTTGACTACTTTCCTGGGAAAGGTTAACTGTTATAAAGAGCTTTAGGGGTTATATCACTTATTGACTGATAGGAGTCAACGTTAATGAGACCTTCACCTCTTGTGACACAGGAACCACCGAGATGTTCTTTATGGCTGATTAACCCTTCAAACTTGACTCTTTATATGTACACTACAGTAGTTTATTGATTGTATTTATATTTCAAGTAATAAATACTTGCATGGTAGATGATTTCCAAAAATTATAAATTATTTAAATGAATATTCAATGTTTACAGATGTCTCTGGTGTATACTGTACTGTATAGGCATAGGTATACTGTAAATCATACAGTATCACGTTCATGCCCTTTTCAAGTGTAAATGGTTTATACACTGTAACCAGGTACAAGGTTATATAAACCATTTACAGTACTGTATATATGTACAGTGCAATACATGCTTTCTAATTTATAAAGGCAAAAATATATACCTGCACAGTAAAAGTTTCATAACTGATGTATCTAGGTGTAGATATTGATCGTTGTTGATTTTTACATTATACTGTACCCATATGTACACACTGTTGCTTTCAACAAGATGTGTGCAGGGTAATATTTTATCATTAATTAACTCTGTTTCTGTTTTTTCAGGTATCACCACCAGACAAACATGGCTTCTGTTCCTTGGGCACCAGTGTGGACTGTGCACGGGCGGCCGTCCAGAATGCCAAGCACATCATTGGCCAGGTAACATCACTTTATCCCTGTTTGCTCCCGGTCAGCTTACTAACTGATCGGGTGGTCAGCCGGTCATCTGCTACACACTATTACCTGTAGCAAGTGCTGTACTGGGCACAAACAGGCTCTTAAATGTACTGTACCAGATCATGTGGCAGCATTGCCCTTGTCTAGTCTTCGGTTGTTATAAGCATAATTAGTGTATATTGAATATTATTCCTGATAAGATCTCAGACAGGACTAAATTAGTACATTTGAGGAATATGTGACCTTATATAACACTTCTAGAGTTACCACAACATTGAATCGCTGGCTGCATCAGTCAGCTCTAACGGCTAACAAGCCGATCAGTGGTGAAGAGGATAAAAGTAAAGTAAAATACTAATTCAGATTGACCAGTTTACTGACTCACTCCCTGACCAGAAGAACTTATTTATAAACACTGTTGATTCAGTTTATAATCAGTTTTTAGTCACCCTTGTTTATGTAATAATAATTGGTGTTTGTGTGTGTAGGTCAATCCATGTATGCCACGCACATTTGGTGATGGTGTGATCCACAAGAGTCACTTTGACGCCATGGTGGATGGGATCTGTAACTTGCCTGAGCACGAGCCTAAGGAGCGGTCAGATGTTGAGAACGAGATTGGTCGACTGATTGCTGAGGAACTGGTGGTGAATGGGGCAACCTTGCAGATGGGTATGTGAGAAAATACAGTACATCATTATTTTTAGGTGTTTTTAGTACCGTATACTGTAAAGTATATAATTTTTTGTAATTTTTTATTTTTATTCATACTTTCTTGCTCAATGAATTTGCTGTGCATTTACAGTACTGTATTGTATATCCAAAACTTCTTGACAACTGTGACATATCCCTTAAGTATGATGCCATAACCTGTTGACAAAGTTGTAAAGTAACTAAATAAATTTACTTGAGTATGGAGGCAAGTAAATTTTTTTAGTATTTTTAAGAAGTACGTACTCAAATTTGCTAGTAATTTTACTTGAGTATGGTTTCTTAATATGCTTTTGCTTCAATACAATTGAAAAACTAAAATTGTTACTATTTACATGTAAACTAATAACATATACTTTTATAAGAATAATTTTAAAAAGAATTATTTAATTATTAACCATAGTAAAAGAATTGTGTGGGTGGAGGGTATGGTGTGGGTGGAGTCGTGATGGGTACGGTGTGGGGAGACACCACGTGGTCATATACCTAGAGGTCTTGTGAGGTGACATCAGGTCAAGTCAAGTGGCAGTGACCATGACAGCAGACTTTCCCTTTGATCTTCTTGTGTTCATTAGCACCTTGACCATCCACCTCACCTAGCCTACCCTCTTATCCCCCCCATTCTTCATCGAGTCCCCTCTCTTCTACTCCACCTTTCCTTCAGGGGGCTTGGCCTTCCAGTTTGATGTCGGTTACTTTTTGCATATACTGTACCTGACTTACCTGTACCTAAAATGAATTTCAAAGAGGCTGTGATTCTAAAGTGCTTTACATAATTCCATCTTAGATATAAAGCCTGTATCTATACATATGTGCGAGACTGAGTGTATTTAAAATTCTGCTTAAATAACTAAGTATCAATGCCCCCTCCTCCCCAGCACCCGCCAGATGTTAAGTGGTGCAAAAAATTCAGCCACTCATCAATTAGAATAAAAAAGTGACGTCACCACACCCCAGTTAGAGGAACAGCTTGATAGCTAGATGGCATAACCATTAACCAGAGGATGGAATGGAGCGGAGCTACTGAGGTCTTTCCCGACATTATGTGACTTAATCTCTCATGCTTAACACCCCACTACCTGAATCTGCTGCTTGTGAGCATCTGTTTAGTCATGCTGGGCTTATTGTTTATTATTTAATGCGAACAGAGACAACTTTATGTCTACGGACCATGTGTCCACGTTGACTCATATTTCAACTCGTATTTTTAAGCAGATACAGTATACATAACTTTATTTATTTATTTTTACTCAGTTACACGCACACACCATCCTAAATACATACTGTGAAAAAAGGTAAAAGAAATAATTGTCCTCAGGGCAAACACGTAATGGGAGGAGAGCGCAGAGTGTAGCTGGTGGGGAGAGTTGCTGGGGAATCGGCATCCCAGCTGATCTTCGTTACTATGGTAGAGCAGGGAGTGTATGCAAATGGTGACTGTGTTAAACTGCAATTTGGGAATCAATAGATACACTACTTTGAATTTCTTCAAAGCCATTCATCCCCTGCACTCTCACTTGGCTGGCTCTAAAGGTCCTGTCTAGCATAAATAACAGCACCCCTCTTGCAAGTTGCCCGAGAAAGGTTCGTAAATGAGTCACATCCCTCTACATTGAACTCGCAGTCCTCCGGGTTGATACTCCTACTGTATTCTTATACATCAGTTCAACAACACCTACTATATTGGGTTGATGTGTCTTGAGTAAAGTTTCAAACTCCGTCCTCTTGTCAAGGAAAGTGTCAGTATTTGCGTACTGTACATGATTCTCAAGCTGTCAATAGTCCCCGTTAGTGACTCCAAGCTTGGTAGTGGCTCTGGCCTTCTTCCATTCTCAGCAGTTGCCTTGTTTACTAATGTTACGAGTTGGGGATTTAGAATATAGTTAAAAGTCTACCCAGATCCCAACAGGCAACAAAAAAAACAAAACAAAGACAATCGGACTATAAAAGGGTAGACAAAGGATGCGAGTTTTTGTTGTGTATAATAAAGTACCATAATTTCCTTAACAAATTATTCAGCTATCTATAATTTACCCTTAACCATACTTAACCTAAACATTAACAGTATATACATATTTATACAACATACAATAATTTGAAGCAAGTGGACGTGGGGGAGGCAATATAAGATTACAAATACTTAAGTACGGAGCTGAGATGGCTGACGAGTAAGGCTGAGTATTGTAGAAGACGGTAGGTAGTCACTGTGCTGTAGGTTTCCAGGATAGGTGGTCCTGTGGTCACTTCCCAGAGTGAACTGCTCTCTCCTCGAATTGGAGCAGACAAAGAAGACTTTGAGGAGGTGACGCAACAACCAGGATATGGAGAAGGGAAACCCGGGAGTGGTAACTAAGACTAGTCATACTCGTGTTTCGTCCCTAGATGGCGTTGCTCGTGGTGCTGGGTAGGTAGATCATGACAATTGGTGGCGGGGTTCATAACACTAAACTCACTGTATTTTCTGGGGTGTGGCCAGAAATTACACTGTTTACAGGGTATGCACCTCCTACTGGGTGAGGGGGGTGGTCCACTGGGTCCTGGTGATGTTATATTAGGCAATACTGTTGTGTGTTAAATTCTTTGAATGCATCCTAGTATTATCCGCATTGTTGTTGTTTTACGGCCATTTTACATATTTACGTGTGTGTTTTACAATGAGTATTTGATCGTAATCACAACATGCATTACAGGAATTGGCAACATTCCTGATGCTGTATTGGCATCCCTGAGGGGTCACAAGGATCTAGGGATCCACTCTGAGATGTTCAGTGATGGAGTGGTGGACCTGGTGGAGGCCGGCTGCATCACCAACACGCACAAGAAATACCACCCGGGCAAGATTGTGGGCAGTTTCCTCGTGGGAACACGGAAACTTTTTGACTTTGTTGATAATAATCCATTTGTTGGTGAGTGTGTTGTATTTGTCTGTTCTAGTGAAGTACAGTAGGGGGCAGGGAAAAAACACTTTTATTTGAGTTGCAGGCTGCACTTTTCAGGCATCGTTTGTATGGCTGTAACAAACACCTGTGCAAAATTTAATGCCATTTCATGCATACTTACCCTGCCGCATCGCGAACGACTTTTTGTCAACTTTTAGTGTACAGTATACCAAAAATTAGGTGTCATTTAATGTTTTCCAGGATAATGATAAATTTTACATGGGTGACATCGATTTAATTCACATGTTATTTTACAGGTACACCGTATAGAAAATCATTACAAGTTCATATTGAAATTCTTTTTTGTGCGGAACCTTGGCATCATTTTCCTAGACAATAATCTTTGCCTAATATATCCATCTCTCGATTCGTATCCCGTCACTTCAGTGCAAGCTTCAGTCATCACTTTTATGCCTCTCTCGACCGCCTGAGTGCTGTTTGGCCACTTGGGCACCACTAATGGTGTCTCAAGAATGTCATTAACCTGTAGATTTGACAGAGAAGCAATGTAAGGAGGCTCAGTCTTGAGTTCATTCCTCCAGTTAATCATGGAATGATAGTTTTTTGCTTGCCACTTTAGTTTTGGAGTCACCACCTTTCTCATGTTGACTACAGGAGGCACATCCTCATTCCCATCTCCATCTTTACCCTCCTCATCAGTATAGTTTAACAAATTCTCGTCAACAGCAGCATCAGAATCTTCCTCCTCCTCTTCAGATCTGCCAGTGCATTCTTCCTTTGCTGATTCTCCTCTCTAATTTTTCTTATCATTGAGACAGCTTTTTCTCTAACAGTCATGTCCTCATCTGCACACATACCAAGAAGAAGTTGATCTGTGTGGGCGAAGTATGCATTTCTCTGGACAGCCTTCTTCACTATCGTCTCCTCCTCACTATTCAGGTGTTTCATATATAGCAGGGACTGGAATACGTTCCTTGAGCCGTGTGTTACGTAAGGGTGTATCTTGATGTAAAACCACATTGGAGCACTGAACTTTATTATTGTAATGACAATTCTTTTCAACTCATGGCTGGGTCTTGATGTTGCTACATACAGCCTGAGGATTCTACTCCATAAGGTGTTCCACCTTGACACACAGGGAGGACCTGGCTCAATAGCAGCCAAGTCATCTTCAACAACACCTGTGATAACTCCTTTACAAATCCTATACAGGTATTTCTGATCCCAGGACAGATCTTTCTCCACTTCATCATTAAACACAGGGAAATCAGGGAAACTGACTGGCTGGAAGGCGACAACTGGAAGCTCAGACAAAGACTCCTTGATCTGCTTTCCAATGGGACCACGCCAATGCTCAGGACCACTTGGTTTACCATCATAGTGATAAAAAACTGCGCGGAAAGGCAGCTCATTTCCGTGAAGCTGACATATGAAATAATGGAGCGGGTGACCAAGTAACATTTCAAGATGATGAATGACTCCATTTTCTGATCCTACATTTACATTGGTTCCATCACAACCAACACACACAATGGGCTGCTGGGTTAGATTTTTCTCCACTAGAAACTCGTGAATAGTTTTGGCAATCTACTTTCCGTGTCCAGTCTTGGGAGTCACATGTGTGAGATATTCATTGCCAGGCTCAACCATGATGACATAATGATCTTTCACCATCATCCTCGAACTCCATTTCTCGGTCTTCTCATTCTTTATCATCACACGAGTGGCGGTCTTCTTACCATCAAAATAGAGTGACGTCAAATTATCTAAACTAGCCATCTCAATTTCTTGCCTCTTAAACAAGACAACTTAAATGAAATAAGAGATATGAAAAAAAAGTTGATAAACACTGAACAGAACATTGCACCGCCACAGCGGCTGTTTGGCTAGTACTGTAGGTAAATTTAAAAATTTCAGTAGAAAATGCGGCAGACTAAACCTCGACATATCAGTTTCAAATTTGGCATGGAGTCTTAGATATGTATAAGGAACAATGCCTGAAGAGTGCAGCTTTGAGCAAAATTTCACTGCCCCCTAAAGTACAGTATATATTCTAGTAATTATCTGGTTTATTTTCTATTATTATGGCACCCATAGGTCATAAATACACTGTATATACCGACAAACCTCACATTTTTTCAATGCTTATTCAGTTTTTCTTTTTCAGCATTGGTCAGCTCATCATTGAAATATATCCAGTACAGTAAATGCTTTAATTCAGTAGACTGGTATTATTTTGATCACATTGTAGTGATTATCAAAATGATTGAGGTTTATATTCACCTTATACCTGCTGGAAATCCAGTGTTGCTTTGGTTCCTCGAGTAGTCTAGTATAACAAATTATTTCATGAGAACTAAACATGGTTAATTTAACCTTTTGAAGAAATTGTAAATATGTTGTCAGGTAGGCGTGCGTGCGTGTGCGTGTGTGTGTGTGTGTGTGTGTGTGTGTGTGTTAATAATAATAATAATGATCAACGATTTATTGAAAAAGTTCAGCAGCCCGTAGGCTGAAAATATACATTAGACAAAAATTACTTTTTACATACAAGTACATGGGTGGGTGGGTTGTTTAACAAAAGCTTTAATTACTAAAAGGAGAAGGAACATGAATTGGACATAAAAATTATTATACGTACTGTAGTTTGCAGTTGATGGCCGGACTGGTCTCTTGCCCTACTGTGTGTGTGTGTGTGTGCATGCAGGGGCAGATCCAGGAATATCAAAAGGGGGGGTCCAAGAAGTGGATGGGGGAACATGTTCATTTTGAAGCCATGTACACTTGATATTAGGAGATATTCTAAGGTCAATAGTAAATACTTTTTACAATACAAAAATGCCTGAGTACAATACAAAAATGCCTGAGTACAATACTGCATTAAAGAAAAAGTATTGGAATTTTCTGATAAAGGAGTGGGGTCCGGACCCCCAGGACACCCCCCCCACCCTGGATCTGCCTCTGGTGTGCATACATGCATGTGTGTGTCTGTGTTTTATCAGGAAATGTAATTACTGTATTAACTTTTTCCAACAATCAAAGTTAATGGTTGTTTTTGTTCTTTCCTACAGTAATGTGTGATGTGTCCTTCGTCAACAGTATTCCTATTATTGCTCAGAACCCGAAAGTCACCGCCATCAACTCCTGCATTGAGGTCGATCTAACGGGCCAGGTTGTGTCAGACTCCATTGGTACCAGGATGTATTCAGGTCAGAGCCAAGATGTGTTTTAGAGCCTGGAGGTACTCAGAGATAGCATGTACTTAGTGAGGATTTACTCAGAGATGGGATACATACAAGATACCCTTTGAAAATATAATCTGAATAGCAGCAATTTCAACCCCGATGTTTAGATTGAGAGTTTTCTCCTTATATTCCTAGCAATAATATTTCTGGGGAAGGTGACATCAGAGCTGTAACTTATAAATACCTAAATGTACTGACATAATAAGCTTACACTAACTTTGTTGTAGTATTAATATGTCAAGACACAAATATTTGCAACTACCTGTACTAATCATTAAGCATCAAAAGACAGGGATGATTAGTGGAATACAATATACAACAAGCTTGCAGAATAAGTGAAAATATGCAAGTCCATGAGTGATGCATTATGTCTCCTCAAAGATAAGACTCTTTACTCTATATTGTACAGGGTGTCTCATAGGTCCTAGATCATAACAAAAGAATGAAGAGGGGTAACAATATTAACACCATCAGAAAATTTCAATACTTTTTCTCTGATGAAGTAATGTACTCAGGCATTTTTGTTTAGTAAAAAGTACTGTACAGTTGGTCCTCACATTACGCGGTTAATGTAACCCGGAGGGTCCCGCGGAAAGTGAGGAACGTGGAAAGTGAACAACATAACATATAGGATTAATTGAAATGGAGTCCAGGCCGATCCCCAAACTCCACTTTTTGATGACACACAACTATGTTGTAGTAAAAATTTTATCTTAACTTTATGATGGTATGAAAAAACAAGTAATATAGAAGAGGTTAGGTTAGGAAAGATAAAGGTTAACATAGGAAAAATAAAGAATAGGTTAAAAAACTAAAAATTTTGTGTAACACTTACGGTAGTAGAAGAGATGGGTCGGCATACGGGGATGGAGGCTGGTTCCGAGGCAGAGGGCAGATTACTGGCCCTCAGGTGAATCACCATTACTAGGTGAATCATCATCACTGTCACTTACAGTTGTCAGGGCTTCCCTGACAAATCCCTCAAAGTCAACTTCACTGTCACTATCACTGGCTTGGGCTGGCTGTGGTGGGTTGCGGGTGAAGAAATCTGTTATGCTTTGCTGACGGCTGGCGTTGATGTTGTCGTGATACACCTTGATGTACGGCTCCATAGCCTGCACCAGCCGGTTATGGAAGACTTCATAGCGGTCATCGTCATTGTCGCGGGAAAGGAAGGACTTCATCTTCTCTGCACACTCCATGGCACCCTTAATATCACTATGACTTAAATTGTGTTCTTCGGAGACTGACGCACCTTCTTCCTCCTCTTCACTGACGTGTTCTTCTTCCATCATCTCGTCGGCAGTCACTTCAGGATCTCTGATCACCTCCAGGATGTCGTCGTTGGTGGTCTCGGAGAAGCCTGGAACTGTAACAGTCTGCGCAGCTTCTCTGGCAAGGTCCACTGCTACTGCAACAGTCTGAACCTCACCAGTCACAGATTGACTCCTCCTCTCACCTGGTATTCCATGCAACACATGTCTCCATGCGTGACGAATTGTAGCAATAGACAGCTGATCCCATGACTCCACCAAGATGTCCACAGCTTTCTTGATGTTAAATATTCTCCAGAATTGTTTGAAGAGTATTTTTTGCTGTTCTAACCGTTGTTCCTCATCTTCGTCGCTCTTGCTATCGGTGGTGGTGTCACTCAGGTCACGCAACTCTTCCCTGGTGTTGGTGTAGTCGTTCAGGAGCTGGAATTTTTTTGTTGAGAATGCAGCTTGCACATTGCAAATCAACTCCTGGTCCATGGGCTGTAATATAGACGTAGTGTTGGGAGGAAGGAAGACCACTTTTACGTTGGGGTGACGATCTAACAGTAGGGGCGAGTGTCCTGGTGCGTTGTCCAGCAGCAACAAAATATTAAATGGGACATTCTGTTGCTCACAGAATTTCTTTACATCGGGAACAAAACAGTCATCAAACCAGGAGAGGGACAGTGTAGAGAACATCCATGCCTTACGTGCTGTCAGCCAGTGGACATTTAGCTTGGTCATGTCCATGGTTTTGTAGGCGTGCGGCTTGCGGGCTGTGTGGATCACCGATAACTTGAGCTTACAGGTACCGGAGGCATTGGTGGCAAACAGGACGGTGATGCGTTCCTTCTGCATTTTCCGGCCCCGAATCCTGCTGGCATTCTTCACAATGTAGGACTTGGAAGGTAGTTTTCTCCAGAAAAGACCAGATTCGTCCATGTTAAACACCTGGTCGTCACTGTACTGTCCTTCCTCCATAATCTCACGTAAAAACGGAGGAAATTCCCGAGCCGCAGCACGATCAGCACTCGCTTCTTCACCACCAATGTTTATATTGGTGATCTTGTTCCGGATCTTAAACCTCTGTAACCACCCAGAGGAAGCAGTAAAGGGTTTGGGCTCTGTAATTCCCATCTTTCGTGCCACTGCCATGTACAGTTCACGTGCGTAGTCCTTCACAGAGCGCGTGTCGACCGCCATGTTCCGTCGCGCCTGACGCACCAAGTACCTCACAAGTAATTTTTCTGTCTTGAGAAGCACCTGGTTGTGAAAATACTTGATCATAGAAGCACCTGCAGACTTTGTGATTTTCATGTGCTCTTTGATCTTGGCTGCATCCTTCTTGATCGTGCGAATCGTAGATTCGTTGACGCCATGCTGGCGCGCGAGATCAACTTGCCGTGTTCCTTTCTCCAAATCTTGAATAATTTGGTACTTCACCTCGTAGCTTAAGGAACGTCGTGTCCTCTTTGGCTTAGTGCCGCTGGGTCCAGGTAAGGAAAGGTTTTTCTCTGGGGGTGGTGGTCCGGCGGAAGCCATTTTACGGAACAATGGATGCGCGTTAACACGGAGTGGCCTTGAGGGATGAGACTGTCGCGGCTAGGTCAAGCGTCGTCTCTCCTCCCTCCCTCCCCCGGGTGGACACGTCATAATACTTTAAGCCAATTACAGCTAGCAGCAGAGGAGGGTAGGGATGCATGGCCAATCACAGGTCTTGTACGTCATATGACGTCAGTGATAACGCAAGAAAGACACACTGCGCAACCTTACCGCGCCGCTTGCCCAAGCGGAGGGAGGAGGAGGAAGAGGCAGGCAGGCGGGCAGGCGGGTGGCGCGTGGCGCGTGGGGATAATCTAAAAATAGCGTCGCGCCGGACACTCTCCGTGTAATGGCGTTCGCGACCGCGGAATGTGAAAATGTTAGGTTCTGGCAAGGCACCGCGGTAACGGTGAAACGCGGAATGCGGGACCGCTTAATGTGAGCACCAACTGTAATTACAATAGACCTCAGAATATCTCCTAATATGAAGTGCACAAGGCTTCAAAATGGTCTCAGCCCCCCTTGATATTCCTGAATCTGCCCCTGGGATGACTCCCTCCCCTAATCCTACCCCCATCTCTAGCTGTTGCTGAAATGGCGAGCAGGCATACCAACTAATGATGATGCACTGAGGATCATTTCAGCTAGGCTTTCAAACTGCAGCGACGGAAAATCTAATGATACTTTTTTAGGTTAAGTTAGAATATGATATAGTAAGTTACAGTACATTAAATTAGGTTAAGTTAGAGTTGGGTATGTTTGATAAAACTAAATTGAATTATGTTACAGTACTTGAAATAGATTACATTGTTAAAAATAAATTAAATGTGAAATTTGGTTCCATTACAGTAGGTTATGCCATGTTGTGTTGGAAGCTGTTACATTAAATTAGGTTAAATTATGTTAAAATAGATTGAATAATGTGAAATTTGGTTCCATTGTTTTTAGTTATATTTTGTGAACTTAGTTTATGTTAGATTAGGTTAAGTTACACTCCACCTGCTACACCCACAGGTGTTGGAGGGCAAGTAGACTTTATCCGAGGGGCAGCAGTGTGCAGTGATGGTCAGGGAAAGCCCATCTTGGCCATGCCCTCTGTCACTTCCAGGGGCGAGTCCAAGATTGTGCCTTTCCTTAAACAAGGTTTGTATGAAGGAGAATTTGTGAAATATCCTGTTATTATGTTTTGGGATTAACATATCAAAAATAATGTTTAGGAGCTAACAAGACCAAAAATTAGGTGTTCAAGGGATAATATCTAACAGATTAATTTCTCAGAAATTTTGTTTCAAGAAAAGCTCAGTAACATTCATCATCTGACTCCTTTGCATTGCTTCATTTCACACTGAAATGTACTAATTAATAACTACTGTACTATATTTGTTATATCATCTAACAGTCTTGGCTTATCTAAGAGATTTTTATATCATCTAACACCTTTGAATCATTGCAGGAGCAGGTGTGGTGACCACCCGGGCACATGTACACTACATGGTGACAGAGTGGGGAATTGCTTATTTGTTTGGTAAGAACCTCCGCCAGAGAGCCTATGAGCTCATCAGAATATCTCACCCTGATCACCGAGAGTCTCTGGAAAAGGCAGCATTTGAGCGGCTTAACTGTATGCCCACCAAGGAATTGTAGTTCTGTGGTCTGAATATTAAGATACATTTAGGTAAATGATACAGGAATCAAGGGCATTGTAGTTAACTGATTCAGAATTTAACAGAAATGATTCAGAGGTTAACAGTCTATAAATTAAATGATTCAGAGTTTAACAAAATTTTAGTTAATTTGCTTAAAGTTCAAGGGACCTATAGCTAAATTTGTTGTACTGTATATGATCCAGAGTTCGAGGGATTACCAGTGAAATGATTGAGGGTTCAAGGGACTTTTAACCAAAAAAAAAAAAAATCCTATATAGTTTGGGGAGAAGTACATATAAATTTTAATAAACACGACAAAATATAATAAATATATTAGGGCAGTCAATAAGTGCTGTCTGCTGTTCCTGAAAAGAAAACTGGGGGTTGTTTTTTTAACGTACATTTTTTTTTACTACTGTGCATCAAAATAAAAGAAGCAGATATGAGTAATGCATTTATTACAGAAATGAAATACTTACTGTTAGATGTCAAAGGGAGATGCTATGAGAGTAAACCAATGTAGTATAAGGATATAATATTTATTTTTTAATGTATTGTGACAGGGAGCATGTCTGAGTGGATCAAGATACGCTATGTTAATCTTAGTTTTTATGACACTTTGAATATTACAGAGCAGGCCAGGGAGGTAAAAGATATGTATTATTTTTATTTCTGGACTGTCTTTTGAATATCTTTTGATACTACTGAAATCATTCATCAAGAAAATTAATTGGTGAAAGTTCAGTACTGTGCAGTATTCCCTGACAATTGTCAAATATGAATACAATCTGATAGTTGTGTGCCAATACAGTTAACCCTCACTTTACGCGGTTAATGTAACCCGGAGGGTCCCGCGTAAAGTGAGAAACGCGTAAAGTGAATAACATAACATATGGGATTAATTGAAATGGAGTCCGGGCCGATCCCCAAACTCCACTTTTTGACGACACACAACTATGTTGTAGTAAAAATAATATCTTAACTTTATGATGGTATGCACACACAATTAATAATTAAGAGAAATATCAATAATATTAGGTTTTTTAACACTTACATTAGTAGAAAAAATGGCTGGGCACACGGGGATGGGTGGTTGGTTCCGAGGCAGAGGGCAGATTATTGGCCCTCACCTGTGTCACTTGTATCAATTGTATCACTATCCACCACAGAGGCTTGCAGGGCCTCTTTGTCAAACTCCCCAAAGTCCATATAAGTCCATATCCTCACCATAATTATCACTATCACTGACTTGGGCCGGCTGTGGTGGGTGGCGGGTGAAGAACTGGTAATGTTTTGATGACTGGGCGACCTTGTGCGCACCATGTTCGCGCAGCTTACACAACATGGCGGATGGCGGGAGGTTTGGATCCAAAAATGGCGCGGCTCGCCAGCCGCTCTCCGCGTAAAGGGGTACACGCACCGCGGAATGTGAGCATCCTGGGTTCCGGCAGGGCACCGCGTAAACGTGGAAACGCGGAATGTGGGACCGCGTAAAGTGAGGGTTAACTGTAGTCATAACTGCCAGCTTCCAGTGTTAGGTGAGGCATCAACTATATACAGTACTGTAATATTGTCTCAACTGGACACTCTAGTCATTTGTGATCCAGATCAGGTGAATGCCAAGTAAATGATAATCTATTTTTAGCTTTGTCGGTCACTCCTCAAGAATGACTGACAGGAACTTCGATCAGGCTGCACTGTGGTTTGTAACCCAAGTTTTCTGATTTTTGTTGATACTTGTACTGTACAGGTATAGCCATGAATCTGCTTGATCAGATTTAAGTTCAATTTTGTATCGTATTTATAATGTTTGATTGGCCTGGACAAAGTGATGATACTGTAGGTCTTAGTTAATAAGAGACATGTGAGGTTAAAATTGCAGCAGATCAAAACATCATCACTTAAGAGCTCTCTCAGTGGCAGGTTGACCTGCCTTTACCTAATAATACACTGTACTCTACTGTATTTATGAAGAGTATGAATGAATTTTGAAACCTCTTTAATGCCTGTATTGGAGATTTAGTACAGTGTATTTGTACTACCTTGAAGAGAATACCCAGTACAGATCCTGTATTTCTTTTGAAGGACCACTGATCTTTTGCGAGTTATTTTAATTTCATAATGTTTTAAAACTTTATGGATACTGTATTAAGAGGAATATTGTATTTTGAGAAGATACAAAATACATGTGGAAGAAAACTGATACTGTACTGAGAAATTATGGGTATCTTTGTATAAGAAAATGTGAGGCTGTCTATGTACAGTACAGTATATGTAAAGTTTGTTTCTATGAAAATTACAAATCTATCTGTAGATGAGGAATGTACAGTCAAGAAAAAAAAAATTCTGCACCTGTGGGTCTGACCGCCTTTGCAACGATCACTGACTCTAGCCATATTTATTTTGTAAGGTTGGTACTTCAGATTGTGCAATACATATTGTAACCAATACCATGTATTCTGCATATCACCTATAGTTAATACATAGTAAGTGGCAACTCTAGAAGGCAGTGCTACCTACATACAGGTAAATCTCGAGATACGATATCCCGAGATGCGATATTTTACCATAATGATGGTTATAAATTGACATCATCTTGCTATATACGGTGAAAACAACTTGCTTTAACTATATCCATTAATAGCCATCAATATCCAATGGTTGGATTTTTTCCTCTGGTGCATTCTCCTATTAATCACCATATTTTTATACATCAAGTCAGTGACATTTTATAAGGAAACAATACCCTATGCACCAGCAATCTTTACCTTCACTTGTCAGCCTACCCACGTGCCGCCACACGACCAACCCGCTCACTACAGCCCTCCCCATGGTTCGTTGTTTATCGCAAACCTGCCATTGCATTGCTCCATGATTATTGGTCAGCATTGTACATTGAGCTTCTTTTTTTTTTTACAGTGAGAGGACAGCACTAATATTTAGATTGAACTGTGTTATGGTGACTGTTAAGTGATACCGGTATTTTCTGTATTTTTGTGACTAAGGTGTGTTGACTGTTGTTTTGAAAATGTGAGCAGTGTCGGCCGCTATCATTATTTTTGTTATCGTCATTTGCTCTGTTTTTGTGATAAGTGCTTTTGCTCTGTTTTTGTAACTGAAGTGAGCAGTGTAACTTTGAAAATGTCTGGGAAGGCCAAGGCATTCAAGACAACCATGCCTCTGAGGTGAAGCTTGACATTGTTAAGCAGCATGAGACTCCCCAGAGGCTGTGTGGGAGTCTCCACTCTACCTACACGAATCCTTTTAGCCTTGAAGGGGAACATGTGATGTGTACAGTATTTGGGACTGGCTGGGAACATATCCCACTGAACCCCATGTTACAATGCTCCCAATCTACAATATTTCACCTAGTGATGGGTTTTCAAGAAGGTAACCCCATCATATCTCGAGGTTTACCTGTATTCCATAACTCATGGGTGTTGTTCAGAATTCTTGGTCCAGTGTGTCATATTGTATCACACCTTAAAGGTGCAGACAATTTTCCTATTGACTGTGCATATCATATATATCTACTCAATTTTTAATGAAGTGAGAATGAGCTGACACATTTCAACATAAAAAACAATGTTGTATGCTGTCTGGAGTGGGGCAGACACTTGAGGCTTTCTGAGTCACAAAAATCAGTTTTCCCTAAAATCATTGATAAAATAGAGAGTTTAAGTATTTTTAAGTTTGAAAAGTATTGATAGTGAAAAAAAAAATCACTGGATGATACACTGTACGGTCTCTGCTAATCTGAAAATCAATCAAGGGCAGTAACTGGAGTAAAAATTGATAGAAATGTTGATGGTCAAACTCAATGTAGATCCCAATGATGTGAAGCAGCACACTAAGATGTATTTTGATTCACATGGATTATGGGTAGAGGGACGGGTAATGCTCTAGCTACCCCTGATGTTCTCTTATGTCAGAGCATCAGCCTGCTAAAGAATCAATACAAGGGGGGGGGGGGGTAATAGAATATTTTGAATCATATTAAGTGATGGAGGGAGACAAGGTGAAACTAAAGTGTAATAGCTGAAAGACTCAAGTGGCACTGGTACTGTATACAGTACATGTTCGCCCAAGCGGCTAACGAGCCGATCAGTGGTGAAGAGGATGAAAGTAAAAAGTAAATACCTTTACTTCATATTTCACTGGGACCACCATGAGTAGATGTATTCTTTATGACCCATCCCATAAACTTTCCTTTGTAACAAATTGCATTAAAATATTATATCCGTCTTTTATTGCAACATTTTGAAGTGTGTTGCTGAATGCATACAGCTAGAGTCATCAATAATTGTGCCAATATAGAAATTCATATACCCTACTTTATATTGTAGTTAATTTTCATATTCTATTATGCAGTACATTTATATTACCACCTTGTAAGTCAGGTACAATTTACAAGTTCTTTGAATATTGTCACATGATTGTTATCCCATGCTGCATCAAGTGGCCTCCCAGTCCTGAAACACTGTATTGTAACCTGAACATTAAGAATGGGGCCTAGTCCAAATGGCCTCATTTCTAATAGACCCCAAGTTAGGTTATGTTGGGGATAATTTGGTCCAGGGGGCCATTTGGTGTCCAGCTATAATCCCATGTTAAAATTTATACAGTACTATACCGTAACCTTACACTGGGCCTAAGATACAGAGCTTTATGTTATGATGATCATATTATTAAAGTACTGTACATACATGTATTGTTAAGAATGTTTTTGTTGTGATATTCATGAAAGAAGAACACTGTAGACTTTATATGAAATGTTGACGTTTATCTTAAACATAATATTGTTATATATTTTGTTACATGAATCAATATTTTCATATCATATTAGAACTGTTGTCGTGCATATATATATATAATGTTACCATTATATAACTATAAATACTAATTACGGTAAAAAAAATTATCTGGTTCCTTTGTAGTTTGGTTTGGAAATATATGAAGACATCTTGTGTTCCTTAGATAACTTGCCAGTGAATGTTATTCCTTGTGTTTGCAGGATGTAAGTAAAACCAGTACAATTATTATAACACCTTCATTATCAGAACTTATTATAAAGTTGATTTCATACTTTTTTTTTTGGTGGCTCACTACAAAGAGAAATTTGAGTTTAGTCTACCAGTATTTCTAGATATCTATCTCATGAGAACTGCAGGGATCATTATGTATAGAGTTACAATAGGGAAGGAGACCCAATGCCATATAAAAAATTGGGCAATAAACTTTTCTAAAAAATTTCTTGTTATTGTTGTAGGTCTTTGTGGTGCCTGAAAAATGCACACGAGACGGTTAACA